GAATAATTCGAAGCGTTCCGAATTCGTCGCATTCGAATACTGGAGTATTCAAAAATTCGAAGCGTTTGGATTTGAAATCGCACCGAATTCGTAGTATTCGAATACTGGAGTATTAAAAAATTCGGAGCATTTAGATTTTAAATTGCACCGAATTCGTACCATTCGAATATTGATAGCGCTGAAATTTATCAAGCGTTAAAATATTGAACAATTTTATTTATTTCTATCGACCAATCTCGAGCTTGAAATTTTTAATATTCTTTGATGATCAATAATGAACCGGAAGTCGTAAACTTCCCGGTAAGATTTGTCGAGAACGTAAAAAGAGCCCCTCCCATTTCTCGGCACTGTAATTACACCAAGCTCGTGCAACTTTTCTTTTTCAGCTTTATTTTTCCATACGACCGAACTTCGTTTGTTGCAACGAGTTTTTCGTTTTTTTTCAAACAAATGTTTTTTTCATTTTCCATCATACTGCCATAATTATTTCCCGGCTTTCCGTACACATTTCAGCCTCGATTGAACGCGAAATCATTTCCCCTCCCCACCATTCCGCTTGTTTGTCATTAACATCTGTCCGCTCCGTTAATTTATGCTCGACGTGCAGTGACACGATTTATTTTTCAGTTAGACAACGATGACGAATACGGACAGCAACGATCGTGATTGATTTCAAATATTACCCGGTGTTTATAGATTGCTTTATCCTCGCATTCAGTACAGGGTGATTTATGAAAAATACTAAACATCCCTCAAACTATAAATAAATTTTTTTCAGCCAGCAGGAATAATATATTATCAATCGCCAATTACTTTACTGACGTCGCGGTTCTAAATTAACGAATTGTAAAACGAACAACCACAATTAAGAAATTCTAATAAAAAAATAATAATCTATATTCATGTCGGTATATAAAAAAATTTTTCCTTAAAGTATAGTTTTCCTATCGTTGCTAATAATCAAAGCAGCCAACACCCGGTTGAAAAACTCGAAGAAAGAAAAAAGAAAGAAAGAAAGAAAGAAAGTAAGAAAGAAAAGTCCAGTTCATTAAAAGCGTCTCGAATGGTTGGTTCGAGTTTGGAAAAGGTCGCCAGTTTCTTGCTGCAGTAATACCGGAGGTTCGTTCGAAAAAGAAACTACCCTGTGCCACGGACTTTTCATTATGTCGCATAATACTCTCGACGCTGTTCTTCCTGGCAAAGCGCGCCTCTTCTTCTCCTCAGTTTTTTCCTTTTCCGAAATGCTCTCGACTTTGCCGGTTACGCTGTTTCCTGGAAAATTACCCTCTGTTTGTCGCGAGGAAAGGATTCACCGAATATCTCGGGATGCTTTTCAGTTACCTACCATTGTGTATCGTAGATGGAACCGTCTGAAACCGGATAATTCTGAGTTACAACGTTCGCCCGATGAGATACGGGTCACTGATGTAATTACCGTTACCAACGAACGGACCTGGTATATTGGTATAGCACACAACGGATTACGTTACTCTCTGATGTGGACATCAGTCGGTCGTAATCACTCGTTCGTGTCAGAGAAATTAAGGCACGCGAAAATGAGTCATCCATGGAAAGACTTGTACGCTTAATGAACTACCTCTTGACATTGATATCCCTTATGCCACCAGTTCATGGGAAAAGTTAATTATTACAAAAAAAAAAAAGAACCTGACTCGTAACGAGTAACCAGATATCATGGGTAACGTGGATTTATTACACACCATGGATCAAACTAACAAATTAATTGTTATAAAAATTCTACTGGTCTATTTCTTTCTCTTTTTCATTTTTTTTCCCAGAGTTTCCCTTTAGCAGTAACGCGCTGTTCCAAGGGAAATTTACGCATCGAAACGATATCGTTTGCAGCCGTAACCGGGGGCTATCTCATCTTGCTGCTTCTCGTTTGGCAAAAATTACACGGTTAATCTCGTAGAAACGTGGTGTGTACCGGGGTTCACGACGTTGGAATTTAAACGGCCAAGCACACGGTCCGGAAAATGATACGGCGAAACGAAAGAGGGGAGAGGAAGAGGGTGCACAGGGTGATTGTATCGATTCTGGATAGAATTTATGGTTGCCTTGATAACATTTACTTATGGCTTTCGAATACCGCGTTTCTCGCGGAATCGGTTCGTACCGAGATTCGGATGGTACACGTCTACCGAGTTTTAAATTCAAGTATATCCCGTGGGATGTTTGGAAATCTGAGAGCTTAGAATTTTGAAAGTTTAGAAATCCAGGAGTAGAGAATTTTCGAAGTTTCGATATTTGAGAACTTGGAATTTTGGAAAGTTGGTAATTCGAGAACTTAGAATTTTGTAAACTTGGAAATTCGAGAGCTTGGAAATGCAATATCTTAGGATAGTGGAAGTTCAGAAAGCTTGAAATTATGAAAGAAGCGTCTAATTTTCTTAATTATCAATTAGCCGCGGATTAGCAAGGAATAGCCGCATTAAGCGTTGGTAGAGCGGCAAGAGCTGCGTTATATAGGCAAACCGTCTAGTACTGTCGAATAATAACATTTGCGTAATGTTACCGTGGGATATGTACCGAGTCACAGGTGGATGGAGAAGGAAATTGACAGAGAGACGAGGGGGTGTAGGTAAAGGAGTTTGGAACACGAACGCAGCCATATGAAACCATGAAGCCCGAACCAACTTCTAAGTTACAGTAATGGTAATGGACACCCTATCTCTGTTACTTGTACTAAACGCAAAATCTGGATTATCGTTGGAAACTAACCTTTATCCTTAATATCGTGTTATACGCTATCCTGACAAGATGTCACATTTCTCTTATCGTTCTTCTATTGCATATGAAATTTCACAAATTTTAATATTAATTTTACGTAGCTTTCATTTAAAATACAGAGCTGAAACGGGAACGAAACTTTAAATAACGAACGAAAGACGAGAACAATTGTGGTAATTTACATTACTCTATTATTGAGATTTCATTCAGTGATTAATAATGAAATGTTTGTTAATTAACTGTCAATCAGTAATGAATGGCATAAAGAAGTTTTAAATAATTCATTAAAATTCCAGATAAAAGATAAATCTTGAATTCCCTCGAATCATTTTCCTACAGTTTTTCAACCCTCCAAACCCCACGATAAACGCTCATTATTTCGTGTCACGTAATCGCGACGCGTTTCATTTATTTATTTATCCTCGTCCCGAATGTATTTACAAAATCGATGGTAAATGCGTAGGGGGGGATGGAATATCGCGGCTGGGATCGCGATTATTCGTACAATCACGCACGTTTGCTAATTTATCAATCAGAAATCGAGGGATGTTTTTTTGATTAAAAAAACAAGTTAACGAGCCAACGCATTTAATAAATTCTCATGGCATTTAGAAATTTTTATATTTTTATTTCAATTTCAACTTGCTAATATTGTAGGTGTTACAGGCATCTGGGGCAGGGATCGTCTGTCCTCAGCTCCACTGACGAATTTAGCAGACGATCCCGAAACGAAACGCCTTTTTCGGTTCCTACAATATTTCCCAAATTGTTTCATAACTAGTGGAGGAGAACATTCCTCGTTCCATTATGGGAAAGAGACACTTTTGTCCTCTGATTAATTCAAATAACGGAACTTCTGTTATGTGCAAAAGTTTCGCATACTTTTAATAAATTATTCGGGCACATTGATGTCCGCGTTTTCGAGATTCCACTCGAAACAAACAAAACGAGCAAACTCGTTCCTGCACCTACTTGTTCACCCCTTTGTCGGCCGGCTAATTCGTTCCCGATAAATTGATAATAAAGTCTCTGCTGCTCGGCGCAAATTCACGGTATCGGGTCGTTTCACCCTGGAGAATACCCAGCGAAACGACTCTCTATTTCTGCTGTTTGGAAATTCGATGAACCCGCAACGATAAACGCGTATAAATAATCGTAATTTGAAACGTGTACACGATATTATGATTGTACTGTTGAAAAGTTTATGCTAACGAGAGGCTGACGGTGACTTGTTAACAATTCCATTTAAATTTTCCTTCCTCCATAGCTTACGGTTTAAACGCGGATTCGAGGACAGATTGATAATTTTATTTTATTATAATTTTAAAGAAATATCTTCGCCATTCGCGGTTGCATTCAGAATTAATTTGATGACATAAAAGTATCACGAAATAATGCTTATGGTATATCAATTTAAAGCTTAAAGCTTAACAAAAACGATGATACAAATGCTTTATCAATATTCTCGATATAAAATAAATGATTGTTAATTATGTTAAAGAGTGACCGATTTTGAAACACCCAAAGTCTATCACAAATTCATCACATAAGAGTATCTCAAAATAGCACTTACCGTACATGAATTTAAAGCTTAAAGTTTGAAGAAAAAGAGCGCATAAATGCTTCATCGATATTCGTAATATAATATTCCTGGTTTTTGTCGGAACGAACGAACAATGGATCAATGGTGCTCGTTAGCGGATATTCAGTTTCCAATTACATACTTGTAGCTACCTGAAGATAATAACGGAATTTTTTTATTTATTTTACCATGACAAGTTTGTAAAATTTCGTTCGAATATTCCATGTATGGAGGAGAATATGTAAATCCGTCGGTTGTTTGTTCCGACGAGAAACCAGCTATTTTCACCAATCATTAAACATCAGATTCTCGTGTACCATTTTTATATAATTTATACTCGAAATTTGTACGTTTTATCCCTTCTTTTCCTGTCCTCGGACGAATTTCACGTTCCGCTTCTGGGGCTGCGAGCGGAGATTCCATTAACCGCGGATAAACGAATTTCTGGACAATTCGGTTAGCGAACGAAACGGTGAAATAAATTCGTTCACCGGCGAAAACGAGAGAATTAGCGCTCTCTCTGTTTTTTCGCCTAACTAGCATCACGCTGACTCGTAACGTTCCTTCTCTTTTTCACCCTTCCCCCCTTTTTTCACCCCTTTCTCGCCGAAATGGTCGAAACGAACCAGCCTTAACTTACATTCTCCACCTTCGTCTGCTGATATAGGTGATCAACTACGACAGTCCAAGGGGCGGTGTATCGGTGATCACGGAAAAAGGAGAAGTTACAACCTCGTATCTTCTAGTGCAACGTGCTCAGCCTGCTGATAGCGGACACTATACCTGCCATCCAAGTAACGCCAACACAAAAACCGTGCTGGTACACGTACTTAACGGTATGTACATAATAGCGAGAAAAACTTTGAATATATACATATATATCTCTCTCTTTTCTACCCTACCTGCTACGTGCTTTTCCAAATTTTTGTAACACTTTGATGGATGGTATCTTACATTCCGTGACTTTGATACATAACGCGAACTTCAACCTTATCAGCCGTTGTACAGTGTGCCGTGTAACAGGGGGTAGAAGAAAGAGTTGAAGAGTACTTTTAGTATTTTAGAATTTTTTAGCTTGAAAATTTAGTGACGCGAGAATTTGGATATTTAGAAATTTAGAAATTTGATTGCTTGGAAATTCGGATGCCTCGAAGGTTCAGAATTGAAGATTTCCGAAGCACCGATTTTTCGCTCGCTTTTCGAAGCGAAACAGCTTAGCCAAACCTCTCAAATCCACCACTGCTCTCTGTTCAAACATAAAAAGGCGAATAAAATTATAAAGGCGGTGGATCCTACGTAGCTCGCGGTCTTCTCAAAGTGTTCACACGCTGAAATCGTTTGCGCTACCGCATCCTCGGCTCTTCCGGGTGTCGAGTGTGGGTGTTGACGCGAGAAACCCTTAATTCAACACGATTCAACGGTTGCAAAGTCGAGGGAAAATTGTTTAATAGCGTACTTTCGGCGTCTTGTTGATTCTGTTGAGTAAACTTGAATCTTTCCCTACACAGAGCAATCTTTTTCGCGTTTCTAAACGTTCAAAGCGTTCACGACAGGACTGCGATAGGGGTGGAGGGAGGGGGAAAAAAATGACTCGGATGGATGGGAGAAAATTGCGTTTCCTGTGGAAAATTGAAAATGACTCGAGTCTGGAGGCAAAGGCGTGCTGGTGCACAGCAACGAAAGCAGGGAAACGTTTAATTTATACATGTTGGAGCTTTTAAAATATTGCACACCTCGGGGAACGATGAAGTCTTTTGAACAGGTGATCCTGTAATTGAACCGACGAGGAACCGGTTAGATGTAACTCAAAAGACCCGGAAAATTGTGTTTACCTTACCCTGTTCCCCTGAAATTGAATGCTAACCGCTTGTTTAAATATGGATTTTCATAGACAACTAATTTAACCCATCCGTGAATTTGGAAGCTTGTAAATTTGAGAAGTTGAAAATTCGAAAGCTTGGCAATTGGGAGATTCTGAAATTTGGCAACTTACAAATTTGGAGATTGTGGACCTTAAAACCTTGGTACCCTGAGATTATGGAACCTCCAAAGGGGTCGCCAAACTTTTTTGATCATTGACCCCTAAAAATTTGCCAATTCTCTTATCGACCCTCTCTATAAAAAAATGTTAAAAAAGAAAAAAAACTTGCGATTGAATAGCATTGGTATTCATCGACCCCTAATTATATTATATCGACCCCCAAGGGGTTGAACCCTTCACTACCATTTTTAATGCTCTCGGCAAGGTGTTTCAAGTGTTGCATCAATCAAAAGGGTACAAAGTAAGGGGGAGGTAGTTTGAAATTCTTCTAAAAATTTTTTACTCGTTGTTTGACTTCTTCTTTTAAGGGAAGAAACTTAAAGGAGGATAAAAATGAGCTACACTCTCGGACAACGAAATTTCTTCCTCCTGAACACTTTTTCCTCCTCGCTATCTCCTTGTAAAGGAACTACCTGAGTTGCTTGCTTAGATGTTCCCTCGCTTTTATACCGTACATACAACGTAACGTTGAAAAGACGCGGCTAACTTTATCGTTTCGGACATTTTCGTTTATTTTTTTGGAAGAATACAAGGCGTGTTGCACCAACCGCATAATATTGCATGATTTTAAGGGATTCCATAAAATAAGAGTAACAGCTTGCGATACGATCCATTCTTTATTGAAACGATACATTTTACATGATTCGATGACATAAAAGTTTCTCGAAATACAACTTGTGATATATCATTTTGGAGCTTAAAGTTTCGTGAAAATGATCATGTAAAAGCTTCATCAATATTCGTAATAAAAAATGGCTGACTGTCAGTTACAGGGAGCAGTGACGAATTTAGAAGCATCTAAATTCCGACACGAATTGATGACAGAAAAGTATCTCAAAATGGCACTTGCGGTATACGAATTTAAAGCTTGTAGTTCACCGAACAAAATTGCGTACACGTTTCGACAATATTTCTAATATAAAGTAGAGGAATTTTTATTGAAACGAGCAGATGATCAATCGTCTAAGGAATATTCAATTCTCTGTCATTCATATTCTAATTTTTACAATTATTCAACCGGATATTCATTATAGAATCAATAATTTTCATATTATACAACCATTACGGTAAAACAAATCGGAAATTCCTTTATCAATTTGAAATACGACCGATTGGAAATTGGATATTCGCTAATGAACAATATTAAGCCACAAATCACTCGGTGCGATGCATTGTTTGTTCGAACAAAGAACCAGTCAATTTGTATTAACAATATTAATAAACGTTTGCATACTAATTTTCATCGATCCTGACACGGATGTACTATAAGTGTTACACTCTGAAGTACTTTTATGTTGTGAAATCATGTCGGATCCTTTTATGATTCAACGAACGAAAAATATCGATACAGTAAAAGTATCGTGAGATGTAATATTTTAAAATCAGTATACGGATCAGCGAACACCTTGGTGACGGCAAAGATGAAAGAAAAAATTCAGTGGAAGCGTAGGAGACAAAGGGTGGATCGATTCCACGAATTTCCATTAACTGGACCGTTAATGAATTCTCGTTAAAAACTGCTCCGTTGTAGTAATCCTGTTTCTGCTACGAAACTCCTCCAAGCTTTCCTCCTCTTCTATCGGGGAAGAAAAGCAGGTGGAAGGGTGGAGAGAAAAAGAAACGGGGGTAGCAGTATTTCATAATACGGTTGGTCGTGTTCCGTTGGTTGGTTATGACCCGTTTACAAAACGAATGAATCCGATCGGTCTTGGCAGAAGATAACGGTCTTAGCAAAAAAAAACCATTCGACCGAGTTGGAAGAGTAATTAAAGAGATTTCTCAGAGTGCAGAGAGGACGTAGCTGAGCTCAGCTATTGCCAGACACTCTGGCGAAACCGTACACTGTCCGGATGGATAACGTTAGAAAGTAGAATTCTGGATTAAAGGCCTGACAGAGAGGAAGTTTATCATAAAATCGATATACAGGGTGGTTACGCGGTCGACGTCCAAGAGTTTCACTCCTCCGGGCTTGTTTCCATCTACCAGCGCTTTCCAAGAAAAATATCATGCTTAAAATTGCGGGATTTTATTTAAAAAATAATGTAGAAGTATTAGAAAATCAGTAGAATTATTAGAAATATAAATCTCAAACATAATTTTAATAATTACTATGATTCTTTTAGAGATAGATCCTGAATTTTTATTCGTTTTAAAAATTTTTTCATTAACATAAGTTACAGGCAATCGTACGAAGGTAGAAACTTGAATCTGTATAGGGGAGAAGCTTTCGAGATATGAAGATTACTCTCTTTTGATATGCTTTCTTCTTAAAAGTGTAACGGAGACTCTTCAGACGAGCATAAGGAGCCAGCAAGTGTAAGAGGAGGGCATTGAAGGCAGTTTTAAATTCCAGCTACGATGTACTTACATACTGATGACAGAAATTAGCTTCGCGTCGAGCACACGAGTGTTAGAAAAATTAAAGTTTCCCTTTTAAAAAGATTCTCTATAGCCAGTCTGATGAATTCCCTAAAGGTAAAATGTGATTTTTATTCGCTCATCGCTTTCACAAGAGATCTACTTTAACAGCGTTTATTTAATATTTATCAACACTCTATTGATATCGTACAAATTAAATTTACTGAACTTTGTTTTTCAGCACTCTGAATAACTCTCAACTCGACGGGATTGTATAAAGCACAATAGGCAGGAAATTTATTGGATGCGTTTATTCCTTCTTTGTTCTTGGATAATAAAAAAAAAAGTACAATTTCTTTAGATGAAAAATTAAAAGCTTCTACAGAGAATAATCTCTTTCGCTGCGTGAAATATTTATTAGCTCTTTGTAATTCAATATTGAATTTGAATCGACATTGCTGTTTATTTCCTTCACTTGAGATTCTTTCACAACATTTTGATCCGTTATTTAAGCTTATTGAATTGTTTTATTGTCAGATTCTTTAAAGTAAAATATCAAGCATTGTAAGCTTCCCCAGGAAAAATGGCAATGATTTCCCTCCACAATATTTGAACCACCCTGTATGCCATAGCTCGTAGAACCAAGAAACAATTCCAATAAGACGACGGATGTTAAAAGAGAATTCAATTTGAATTTTAATCATTTTTCGACAGGAGAACATCCAGCAGCGATGCAACACGGTGGCCAACTCAGACTGGCGAATCTACCCTTCGTAATGATCTCAACGACTCTGCTGGCTTTCCTGAATCATCGTTATTGAAAAGCAACCAGCACAGGGATCAGGAGACGCCCGTTTTGCCTGGTAAATCATATTCCACTGGCACAGTCGTCGTGGAAACCCGTTTCACGCGTGAAAATTTGATTTTTCCACCCAGAATAATCCAATCTCCGACAGTTCCATTTGGAGATTTCGACTGAACACGATGGAAAGCTTCTTTATCAAATACACAAGTCCTTTTATGATTTCCAGGTTACGTTTACATCGCTGGTTGCTGCTTTTTCAAAAGAGGACAAGAAGAACCTTAATCAACATGGGACTGGCAGTCAGCGTGAAAGTATACGAATACCATTATTAAAAAAAAAATGATACCTGTTGATGGAACGATAAAGTGATCTCTGTCGTGTTTCTGGTTGAAAAAAAGATCCATGACTGAATGAAAAAATCGGTGTAGGAGTTTGGACCATTCTAGAGCACAGTTATGTGCTGAATGTATCTAAAAAAAAAAAGTAGTCTGTTGTCTTGAGATAAAAAAGAATTCATGTACAGAGTGTTCCAGAATGAAAATCTTCTATTAGCTGTAATACTCTATTCATTCCTGTAGATTTTTCATTTTATAATAATGAAATACCCTAGAGCCTCCCTCCATAAAAAAAGCATTTTTAGTAGGACGAAGGAAACACGTTAAAAATAGATATTACTGAATATAATTCTAATGTAATATTTAATGAGATGGTTGTACTAAAATATGTATGAACACCAGGAGCCCTTGAGAACCTTCTAAGTATCCATCATGGCAAACCTGAAGTCACTTCCTCATAAATATAAGATTGTAATTCATTAACGACAACTCTGCCACTTCTATTCGTATTCTGGAATACTCTGTATCTAAAGGAAACATAAAAACGCTATCGGTGGTAGTAATATAGTTCGTTCAAGCGAACCGATTAACATCGGGAGAGAAAAGGGTGTACGATTTTTTTATTTGCTGTGTTACGGTCACAAGACAATACGCTGTACTTGCCAAAGGAAACGTACGAATTATTGTTGAAACAATGCGATTAAGATTTTTAATTGTTCTGTTTATATACGATACGTAACTCTATATGGTATACATATACATATTAATATATATATAGAAAGAAAGACTATGTTATACTTGGAAACAAATGGCAAAGAATCGCCAGGAATTTGTGTTCAGTTGTAAAATGGTGGAACGTGAATCACCTTTGACCACGTTAAATTGAGGATCTGGATTAGAAGCGTGAAGTAAAGCTGGATTATCTTCGAATTGAATCTATACGTTCGGCAAATTGTAGTTTCAAATGGAGAAAACTGTTTCGCGCCGTAAAAAGAGAAAGATTGTTAATGATTTTTTACTCAATTTGTTTTTTTTTGGTTCTATCCGGCGAGTGTATTGATGTCTGAACGAACTAGCGGCTTTTAACAGTGATTCTAAACGATTCTTGGACTATGTTCAGATTGGAACCGCATGAAATTACTTGTCATACATATACGAATTACCATAATTTGTACATCTCATTGAAAATTGCTGATACATTGGTATTAAGAGTCAGCAACATTGAACCAGAAAATGATAAATTGTACTTAAAGCGGTATTTTCTTGATAATGACACAGTATTTCTAATAAGAACATATTCCTGATTTAGTAACCGATACTACCGGTAATCAGTTATCGCAGTATGGAAAACGTTGAACTAAAAACTTTATAAGGATCTATGATTAGAAGCGGTGTATGATGATGAATTTCGTTTACTATTCGGTCTGAGGTTTCGCGTTGTCTGTTCTGCAATATTCTGAAACGGCTAAATACGGTCCACAGTTTTTGGGCATCTCAGCTCAGGGCATACTTCCACACCGTTTCTGGTGACGTAGAATCGCAATTTATAAAGTGTTCATTGTGTATTAAGCATTTTATTTCGTCGTCGGTGTACACACGAAAGTGCAACACACATATTTAGCAAGAATGAACGATCATTTATTGTTAGATTTCATCTACGTTGACCTGTAACAGGTCTTTACATAAAGTCTGCTACACGAACAAACTAATTTTCATCTATTGTTAAGTGGAAGCCAAATTGAAGAAGAGAGAAACATGGTGAGAAATGAAGAATGTTGAATGAGTGGACCTACTTAGATTGGGAAATTAATTCTATAATTGGACCAGAATTAACGACTGTTGTATTTTATTTAGATAAGTTTTCAAACGATAAGCGTCTATTACGTACACGTTGTTAACAAAAAGATCAAGTTTCTCTTCGTAATCGTCATGCGTGATTTTTCGTGTGAATGTGAGCATATAAGAAAAAAAGAAAAATAAAACGGACGAATGGTAAAGCAAATGAAAAATATTTCAATAATCGAATTAAGGGAAATTGATTCTATAATGGTTACATATGTTTAAAGATTAATTGCAAAGTAGTTTAAGCGCGTTATACACAAACTGAAATACAGTTTCTGTTGTAGCTGTAAATTATTTGTGTTATATTACAATATAATATGATTCTTTTATGTAACGATTACTTCCCTGATATCTCTCCGATTAAAAACTTCATCGGGTTGAAATAAAAATTGTCTATCCTTAAAACGAAAGATAATTTTATCCCCAATTTCACGTTGATGTGACTGCCCTTTTTATTTTTCCAATTAAATTAAACCGTTTTCAAGGGATCCGCATCATTTTTAGATACACTCACATTCACAGATTTGTCCAACACATCGCTTAAAGTAAATGCAAATTTTGTAAGAAAACCACGTTCTGAATCGGAATGATTTGTTAATATCACACTGATTCCATTGTGTGTAGCATCAAGAATATCATGATGCAACATCTCTCCAGTAAGATATAGATCAGCAGACACACCTTTTAAAACAGATGCTCCAGATCCAGCACAAAGTGCAATAGTGTTGATAAAACCATCTGAAATAACATTTTAAATTTGAATCTCTATTAATAGTTTGGAAGTAAATATTTGAATGAATACCTGTGCGACAAGCGCGAGCTAATCTAACGTATTTCAAGCCTGTATGTTCCTTTACACGTTGTACAGCATCCTCGATAGAAATTTTGCTTTTTAAAATACATATCCTTCCACAACCATAGTCAGGATTGCTTACATTTACTTCTATTGGGTGACTGCTCTTAAGTACTGACAGACATAACACCATTGATTGTAACATAATTTTCAGAATTAACAATTTTATTTGAAACTTACCATCTTCAAATGCTGAAGCTAGCCAATCATTTACACCGCCTTTAACAGAGTCGAAACTAGTATGCGGCGAATACACAGCTATTCTATTTTCCAAACATTTGGCAACAATTTTCTCCTAAAAGAAATGATTTAAATAGTATGTATGAATTTAGCAAGAACATAATAACTAATTATTAATTACCTTCCATGATCTGGTTGTTACAGATTTCATAGGGGCAAATATCAAAGGATGATAGGTAATAATCATATCTGTTTTTAAATCTAAAGCCTCTTGCATGACACTTTCAGTTAAATCATTTGTTAGAAGAATGTGAGAGACTAGTTTTGTTTCTGTAGGTTCAATAAGTAACCCTACATTATCCCAGGGATTTGCAAGTGATGGATCAGCAAACTTGTGTAATGTTTCTACAACCTGGGTTAAAGGAATCCCCATAGCATCAGGTTTCATGGCACTCATTGCATACAATACACTGCTGTGTTTCTGTTTAGTATCATAAACAAAGATTCTACAGCTTCTTTTCAATGCAGTAAAATGTCTAAACATTTAGGGCAATCTAAAACAAGTGAACACAGGTAAAACAGTTCAAGTATGAAATATCATTTCAATTATTTGATAGTAAAAGAAATAAAATAAATTTCTATCTTTTAAATATATTTATTATTAAAAAATACAATTACATAACAATAATAAGTGTGTTATTCGTTATAAAACCAGATTTTCACTAAACCATCATCACTACATGATGCAAGTTGTCCAGGAACAGTAGGATTCCATTGCACGCAATTCACATCCTGTGTATGAGCAGTGTCCATTGAATAAACCATTGTAAAGGTAGGTTGAAGAGAATCAGAATCACTGTCTTCTTTAAATATTCTAATAATGTCATCACCACATGCAGTCACTATTAAATCAGTTGTTTTACACCAATCAATGTCATAAATTGTCCTTGTATGATAACCAGATATTGTGCACACACACTTCCAAACCGGTTCATTGTTTGCTGTAGCAATTCCTTGTTCATTACCAGGCTTAAATTCTTGCCATATCTTCACTGTTTGATCATCGCTACATGTAGCTATTCTATTGCCCTCCTTGTTCCATGAAAGACTCCAAACTGTTGAAGTATGAGATGATAATGTTGCTAAGCAGGACCAATCATTAGCTGCTGCTTCTTCCTTGAATATCTTTACTGTATTATCATAACTAGCAGATGCTACTATTTCCTCAGTTGGATGCCACCTTACCTATTTTAATTCAAACATGTATTTAACATATTCTTATTTTTCAAAAACATAAAAATGATATACTTACCTTTTTCACATCTTGAGTATGAGCACTAATTACAGCTTCACACTCATACTCATCATCATTTACTTCCCATATCCAAACAGATTTATCTCGGCTACAAGTAGCTAACAACTGTCCACTTGTAGACCAACTAACACTTTTCACTTCATTCTCATGCCCTTCTAATGTTGCATTACATTCAAACTGACCCGATTTTTTATCCCATACAGCAGTAGTAGCATCAAAACTAGCAGATGCTATGTAATTCCCACAAGGAGACCATGCAACTTCTCTTATAGTTCTTGAATGTCCCTCAGTAAGAATAGTTTTTATAGCCCATTTTGGCTCTTGCGGTCCCCATATAATAATTGTTTTATCTTCACCGCAAGATGCAAGGTATATGCCTTTAGGATGCCAGCAAACATTCCACACTCTTCCCCTATGTCCATTCAAAGTTTGTTTTAATTCCAATGTACCCATTTCTACCTGCAATAATAAATGCTTTCTCTTTATATTTACCCTGAACTTATGAAAAATATTACAGATGTTAATGAGGAAATACGAGTGGGAAATGTTTGCGCACCGTACCTGACATGAAGATCGAAATCATGAAATGTACATACAAGCAAACATAAATTGATAATTATGTTTCAATTTTTACGTAAGTATTGATAATATTAACGATATTTTAAACAACATAACAATAAAAATTTGCAAGTTATATGAAAGTTAAGAATATTTTACGAAACGATGAAAGTGTTAGACCAATATATTACGATAATTACTTACGATAATCGTTTTGAAGACTTTTTAATTGCACAGTATTAAAGAATGAATAGTCAGCAAGCTCAGTCGGCTGCATATGCTTTACGTATAATTATAATAATATAATAGATACACAGATAGCAGATTGCAAATCCTTCGTGAAATATCCATGAAATATCACGTGCGTCACATAACCATGAACTACTAACTGACCAGATAAATTGTTCAAAAAATTTCAAAAGGATTAGTTTGATTATTATTGACCATTAGAAGGTGGAAATAAATTATTATTCACCACAATAACAATATCCACAATCAAAATTTATTATATTTTATTTTTTATAATATACAAATAAAAAATAATTAAATTACAATTTGTTTATAACTATCTATGAATAAACTTAATAATTATCAGTCTGATGCTGCATTATACGATGTAGCTACTGATAATGAATCTGTGTCTGTTAAAGGTAACATTCTTGTACAAGAATCAGGTGTCCTAAATATTAAAAGGGATATAGAAAATTTAGTAATTGTATTTGAACATAACTATATTAAGAATTTCTTACTACTTACACATCTTTCAAAAGATGTAACACATGTTTGTGTTCAATACCCTCCAACCATAAATTTAATAATTCTTCTCTTTTACACCTTAGTAGTTGTTTACAGGCATTCAAATTTTCCTTAACTGCATGAATTTTCTCTCTAGATGCAGTTACCTTTTCTGATAAAGCACTAAATATCTGAAGTTGAAAATAATAAACATATTATTATCGTATACAAAATCATTATCTTACATCATATAATAACATGTATTTACTTGCATAACTTCTGTAAGATCTTGATCATGTAATGATACTAGTTCATCAAGTCTTTGGTCACTCTTCTTATATTCTTTCTCAAGTTTAGCTTTTTCTATCTCTCGTTGTTCATTAGTTTCACTTGCTGACAAAGCACGAATCACAGAGATCAATAAACCACTCTAAAAACACATTTGATTAATAATGAAGCTAACTAATTTTAGCTGTTGTAATGAAAAATGTTGAAATAGTGCAATAAAGATGTATTAGTTATACTTACAGTTTCTTTAGTTGGTTTAATACCTCTTGGAGGCTTAGTAGGAGGCACTGAGTTCATTCTCTATTATTTTCTCGAGTAAAAACAGAAAAGACAACGTCAAATTTTCTTCTTTTTGTATAATAATAATGATTTTTCTATTTACTGTTAAATGTTACATATATAGGTTATGTTTTATATACAGTTTCATAAATCTGTGATACTTAAACATCCGATTTTTAGAATATTTTTAGAAAAATTGTTATAAAAGTACTAAATAATTATTATTTAAACGGAAAAAGTTAACTATTAGACTGTTTTTATTATACACACACCCCCGCGTATTGACGTTTTGAAAGTGACATTAGGCAACATAACTGCTACAGACACACACATTTAAAGGTGCCAATAAAAGCAGACTGCTTATCTAACTAATTGCAACAATTTGTTTTATTAGAATAAAATTTGATATACAATTTAGGATATGTATTATATCTATTTAAATTTCATACAATTTCTGTGGCAATGTATGTACATTCAAATTGGTCACAATTAAAAACAGTAATAAACTTTCATTATTAAACATAAAGATGAAAAGGAAATGACATTTTTAATGTTATCAATTCCATGATATAATTGAATTGCTACAAATATTTTATAAAATTGTAACAAAATAACATATAATATGTAAAATAGTGATATTTCATTATTAAAAATTCATTTTCAGAAACATTTTTGTGTAGTATTTTATACAAATTTTGAATGAAAAATAATGTATATGTACACTATTTAATATGAAAAAGTCTATTGTCTTCTGAATTTAGTTGAATGTATTAGTTGCAAATATTTGACTTAGTCATATAGAAGTATCACAGAATTTATTATATACTTGTACTGTGTGGTACTTTCAAGTTAATTTGTAACAAATTTTATTTTTAGTCTTCACTGTTTTCCTAGGTGTCAAATATAAAATATTGTGCTACAGTACTTCAAGCAAAATTGATGTTAACAAGTCTATAAAATAGTTTCCACTTATCAGCTTAGTTTCACATAGCTTGAAACTTAATGCATATTTGGTATTAAATATCTTATATGAATATGTTTAGAATTGTACGAATTTCTTTTTTCCAATTTTAACATGTTGAAACATAATTTCTACATAAATAAAATTATTCGTATTTGTATAAAAATGTATATTTCATCTTTATATTTAAAATATTCAAATTTTGTTTAATAATGAAAAAACTAAATTAACATTGCAACTCTAGGGGCGAATGTAAATTAATTATCCACACCATATAAGTTATCAGGCTATTACTGTTGTAATAAAAGAAGAAAATAGGAAGTGTAATCATTATGCAATAAATAAGATAATACCAATTTTTTGTAAATTATTTAGGAATGTATACTGTAAATAAAGGTTAAATTATTTATGAATAATTATTTCAGATACATAAACTACTGTTTCAACATGATAAAATATACATTGAAACATAAGGCTCCATGTTTACTTTACATTTGCGGTAATTGATCGATCGGTGTCGCGAATTTGAAATCTTCTGGAAACAATTTTCCTGCATGAGGATACATTAATTTATAAGACTGTCTGATGGTAACATCTGCTACACCAGCAATATCACCAATTTCTTTTTGGGATCTCTTGTCTTCTGAAGCCTAAAGAAAAACAATACAGTATACAAGAATTATATATACTTTGAATAATAATTTTCTTAATCGTTTTATATACCTGTGATGCCATGTATATTGCAGCAGCTGCTACTGAAATAGGCGATCTTCCAGGTACAATATCAATTTCTACCGCTTTTCTAGCAATATGTGTTGCAGCTCTTTGAACCATATTAGGAAGGCCAAGATTAGAACAAAATCTAGACATAAAGTCTCCTGTAGTGATAAGATCAACACTGGTTTCCAGTGCCTTCAAGATCAATTTAAAACATCTTCCAATTTCTTTTTTACTAATTTTACTGACTGCACATATCTCTTTGAATGTTCGTGGTACACCTTCCTGCCTGCAGGCAATATATAAACAGGCAGAAGCAATAGCATCGTTTGCACGTCCCTTTAGATTTTTTCCATCATGCACTTGTTTGAACAAATTATTAGCTCTATCAACAATGGTTTTCGGTAAATTAATGCGATCGGCCATTCCGTTAATTTCACGAAATGCATTGATCAATGCTCTGTCTGAACTGCTCATCTGAAAGTATTATAGTTTATTAAGCTTTATTATTTTAAATGATTAAAATATGTTGCATACAATATAACAAAACTTACTGTACGTCTGTTTTGATATTTTGATACACCAAAGGCATCAAAAGATGCTGCACCAGTTCCTGGGCCAATCATGGTGGATAAATCTGAACCATTGAGAAGTGGATTTTCTGGTCCACCGACACGCGATGGATCAACACCAGCTTTTTCATTACTGAATGTTCTCCACTCTGAACCAACATCTATTACTCTTATAGAAAATATTTTATAGTTAGATTAGTTTCAATTCAAAGATATATAACTTTTATATTTACCTATCACCAACAACTAATCCACACTCTGAACAGATTTGATCACCAGCCCGATAGTCCTCAATAAGTGGTGCATCTGGATGTGCATAACAACAAACTTTGTTTGTTTCATGTCTGTAAAAAAAAATTATGAAAATGTATGCCATATAATATATATACATACATATCAATATTTGCATTACTACTATCTTGATAACTGTAAAAATTCTACTGCTTTTTGTACCTCTTTGCATTTACATTTTTATTTAAAAAATTTGTGTTTAATCTTTGTCCAATACACCTTTATTATTAAAGCAGAAAAACTATAAAAAATGAATTTGGAGAAAATGAACCATATATAAATATCACATTATAGTTTCAAAGACAATTAATTAAGAATACATTAATAACAAACAATTTTACTGTCAGATTTCATAACCACAGCTTATGACATCAATTTATGCACAAACTATTGGGATTTGTTATCGGATAATAACAATTTGTAAGACAAAATATTACAAGATACGTTATTAAGACCAATTAAAAAATATTAGATAAAACTTCCACAAAATTTACCTTGACGAACTTGCCATATTTTGGATTCGTGTTTTTCTACTCTGCCGCGTAAGTCAATGCAGATACTTTATCGTATCTGTATGGATAGGCATTAACATGTGTACTGAGCTATAGAAAATGCAGTGGACATAAGGTCTAATAGTCAAAATGTATTACTGATTTTATGTTATACATACATTTAGGACTAATTATTATACACTAAACGTTAATAAAGAATTGTTAATACTTTACTGTAATCTACTTTAGCTTCATGAAATGCAACATAATTTTCTTTGAACTTCTGATCAATGGAAACAAGAACTAAAGGCAATCAATGCACCTGCCTATACATACATATAAACATAATCATAGTGTATTACTCACCCTGAAAATTATATTTTTACCTGTATTGTTTACTGTAGTTGTCAAGTGATTTCCTACAATAAGTAATATATATAGAACTTGACAAATTTTACTAATATACAAAAATAAGAAATGTAAGTTAATGAAATTTAATCCTTCACATTTCTTTACTTGGTTTTTAGAACAAATATGAACCTAACCCTTTTATATTTTACAAAACTTATGAATTTTTGTGCAGATTGAAATTTACCAAACAATGAAAGTATAGATCTATATATATATGTACAAGTACTGAATAGAATATAAATTTTTATTTACTTGTGACTAAAAAAGCTTATAAAATGACATTAGAAGATGTACAAAATGCAGCAAGAAAAGCAGTACAGTTCGATAGTAACAGTCAATACAAACAAGCTTTATATTATTATAACATTGCTGTGAAATACCTTACTGAGTTGCAAGATCCTGTGTATGATCAGAAACTTTCAGAATATCAGGAAAGAATATCAGTAATAGAGAAACTTAGTAAGTATTTTATATAAATTTATAATTTATACAGAGGCAAATAAAAATGTGTACATTATTAATCATTCATAGTTAGTGAAGAAGAGCAGAAATCTTGTAAAGCTCAGTCTGTACATCAGTCAGAGTTGCAAAGATGCAAATTTCTTATAAATCAAGCACAAGATGCGGATGAAGCTGGTTTGAAAGATATTGCTGTAAAATTATATACAGATGCTGCTGAATTTGGACTTAGTGTAGTATGTAAAACAAGTTTTTAATGCTAACGAAATCAGTTTTGTAAAAAACATTGGTTAATTAATACTATAATTACAGAAAACTACTGATTCAGAAGCTAAAGGAAAATTAACTGCTCTTGTAAGACTTGCTCTTGATAGAGCTGAATCTTTAAAGGGTGTGAAAAAACAAGAGAATGTTGATATTATTGAAACACTTTCTAAATTACCACCAGTGCCAGAAACAAGTTTGGATGAAGATGTGGATAAAATCCCATCGCTACCAACAACAAGACCTATTTTAAATTCTGGTAATGCAAATAACAATTGTATATCTTTTTTTAAGAATTTTTTTCTTTCCTCTTAATTAATCATAATTTTTAGGGAAACAAACTCGACCACCGCTTCATCGTGGTAGCAGTATGCATTTAAAAGTAAGCGGCGGTAGTAGTAATTACACAGAGGAAGAGAAAAGGGTTTTACTTCATAGTTCTCATATCAACGATCATGAATTCGTACCCTTTATGAGTATTGATCTTACAGAAAAATTTCAGTATGCCATTCCATTTACTGATAGAGACGGTTTGTTAGAATTAGCACCAAAACAGAAACCTGATTTTGCAAGATGGTGCCGACCAGAAGAACTGTTTTCTGATCCGAAAATGCTTAAAGGTCCTCATGTCGATTACTATAGTATAAAGCAAACTGTTAGTAATAGATGGTCATTGCTGTTATGTTATTAAAATTCTTGATTTAATTGTTAATTTAATATTCAATTTTAGGTTGTTTCTGATTGCTCCTTTGTTGCTTCACTCGCTGTTAGTGCTCAATATGAAAAAAGATTTGGACGTAGACTTATCACGTCTATTATTTATCCGAAAAATAGAAATAAAGAACCAATTTATAATCCATTTGGTAAGAATTTGTGTATTATTGTACAAATTATAAAACTTTCTTCTTTAAATAATTAATGTGCTAGAATTTTATGATTAGGAAAATATATGGTGAAACTACACATTAATGGCATACCGCGAAAAGTTATAATAGATGACTTACTTCCTGTAAGTCGTTACAACCAATTACTTTGTTCCTACTCCAGCAATCAGGGAGAGCTGTGGATCTCATTACTGGAGAAAGCATACATGAAAGTAATGGGTGGTTATGATTTTCCTGGCTCAAATAGTGTAAGCCCATTTTTGTACAGTATTTTTGTACATTAATGATATTTGTCTAACAAGTAAATATTGTTTAGAATATAGATTTACATGCTCTAACTGGATGGATACCAGAGAGGTGGGCTATAAGACCAGGTGAACCAGATTTTAATAAAGACAATTTGTATAATGTTTTATTATCACGTTTACATAAAGGAGATGTACTAGTGACAGTGGCTACTGGAGAACTATCTGATTTAGACGCTGATAGAACAGGTCTTGTACCTACTCATGCATATGCTGTTCTTAATGTTAGAAACATAAATGTGAGCAGTAATTTTTCATTTGAAACAAATATTAAAAGACATAAGATTCATAGACACAATTACAGGGAGAAAGATTGTTACAACTGAAAAATCCTTGGTCTCATTTACGTTGGAAAGGAAATTATTCAGAGCTTGATACCATGCATTGGACGAACGAATTAAAAGAAGCATTAAATTATGACCCAGATTCTGCGTCTCAATTTGATAACGGAGTATTCTGGATTGATTATGATAGCATATGTCGCTTCTTTGACGTGTTTTACTTAAACTGGAACCCAGGTTTATTTAATTACACTTATTGTATTCACCAGTAAGTTACATGTTTCTCGTTCCCCTTATAGTTTTATGATATTTTATAAAAAGATCTTCCGTTATAGGATGTGGAATGCAGGAATAGGCCCGGTAAAAGATGCATACAATATAGGTGACAATCCTCAGTTTAGTTTAGAGGTGCAAAATAATGTAACAGGGGTCATATGGATTCTTTTAACGAGACATATTACGGATATAGCAGATTTCCGACAGAACCAAGAATATATTACAATATTAGTGTATAAAAATGATGGAAGAAGAGTATATTATCCTCGTAAGAAAAATAATTTGTTTATAATATTTTTGATATTGAATGTAAGTGTAACTTTAGATATTTAATCATGTAGATGATCCACCACCGTACATTGATGGTGTACGAATAAATAGTCCTCACTACCTCTGTAAAATAAAGCTAGACGGGAATAGTGATTCTAGATACGCTCTAGTCATATCGCAATATGAAAAGACAAATACGATATATTACACTTTACGCGCTTACGGCACATGTCCATTTACATTACGAAAAATGCCACAATTATACAAATACGAAAAAGAGGTATATTTATTTATTACTTATTTATTCGTTTAAAATATATTGTATTAAAATAATTGTTATTTTAGATCACTGATGGCCAGTGGAAAGGTGTTTCAGCTGGTGGATGCAGCAATCATCCAACATATCAAAACAATCCACGTTACCAATTAGTATTAGAAAGTTCAAACAATAATAATTATTTGTTGATTATATTAAAAGGTCCCAAACAGTATCAAATAGGTTTTGATATTGTTTCGGTTGTATTAAATGATCCTGACGCACCCAGCGCGTTCAAAATGAAAAGTTCAGGACCATTCAGGTATTATTTAATGATGTATTATACATAATTATGTAAATAATGAATTAATAATTAAATCTTATACAGGTCGGGCTTTGTTTATCTTGAATTAGAAGATGTACCTGCTGGTACATATCATGTTACACCATCAACATACATCCCTGGGCAAGAAGGACCTTTTTTCTTAATTTGCAAATCATCTTGCAAACTACAGCTTCAAAGGTTACAGTAAGAACATTAATTATAACATAATTTACTTTTTTATATATAAATGCATATTACATAGTCATTCGTTTATACGCATCAAGTGTGATATACAAAAAGGAGCTATAAAATATTTATATTTACTGTTACAAAATTATAAATAAATGTTGCTAATACTAAATTATTTAAAAATGTTACAATGCCAAAATGTATGTTAATATCATAAACAGTGAAATGTTTATTTTTTTTTAATATGCGAACTAAAGAACATTGGAAAAATAATTAAATAAGGTATTATAAAATGCTTTTATTATATTTTCAAAGTACAAATTAGACTAGACAACTACTGACTGGATTATGAAGATTTGTGGCACTTTATTTATGTTCAATATTTGTTTGATATTATGTTTGGCACGTATGCAGCTCAATTTCGATGAGTATAATTTTCTAAATATCTTTTTATCGGCTAATTAATGTTTTTTTGTACTATTCGTATGTACGCAGTACGGAAAAATATGAACGTCGTTTTGATAAAATAATGTGTTTTTAATCATCTGTATGTGAATGTGAAGAAAACGCATCAAATGGTGTTAATCGTAAGTATTATTGCATTACCATATTTCTTTTTTATCTACTTAATAGAAACTATGTTCTACAATATTAATTCTGTTTTTTTCCAAATTTTTTTACTATAATTTTGGCTAACACATTTTCAATTTTGTTAAAAATGTGTATAGTAATTTATATCCTAAAGATGTCATAACTTAATAACAATTGTATTGTGTAATTAATACTTATATTCTGATTTTTAAATATGCTATTTCGTATTTTGATATTCATTAGTTATGGAATTCGTTAACATCTGTCAATAGTGGCTTACAAATAATTATAAACTAATAATTATTGTTAATTGTAATATTTCTCGTTAACCTAACGATAACTATAAATAAATAATCGTGTAATTTATATGAAATCATGGGTTGTGAAACAGAAATTGAGTAGAACATGAATGTATTTACAGAACTGCGGACAGATAAATTATAAAAAGAATTATGGACAATTATACAAAAAATGTACACAATGAATAAACACAATAGTATTAATTGGAAATGAAATTGTAAAGAAAACTGTATAGAGTGAAATTGTTATATGTATAACAGTATTCTCGCGTTGTAATTATTTAGATGTATATATAGAAGGCACTATTGTCAACGTAGAGAAATATTATTAATGTAGAAAATATTTAAATTAAATTGTACTTTTACTATTCTGCTTAGTGTTATGATATGCGTTATAAATTTAATCAATGTTTAATTATTATAATTATGTTGCTGCTATGTATGCAATAATTTATAATTATAAACGCAATCATTGTTATTTTAAATTCACTAAAATTATTAACTCATATTGATTTTGTTTTAAATTAATTTGAATTTAATTTAATAGTAAAATACCTTTGTATTATAATATCACCTTAAACAGTTTTCTTTACTTTATATTTAAACTTGCATTCTTCCTACAAGATGAGCGTAAATTTTGATATCTTAGTAGTATGCACTATTGTTTCGAATAAAAATTAAGCTGTACATTGTATAAACGATATTAGAAATTACAACTATTACAAATAGAATGTTATTTATAATTACAAGTTAAACTAGGGACGAAGTGTTAGATGTATTATTTGTTAGATCAGTTTGAAAGAGAGCAGAGTTTATGAATAATTATCTTAAAAACGTTTTCAAAATATTTAATGTTCTGAAAATTGTGTTGTTTAATCACATTCTTTAGCTTATTTTAATAGATTGACTATAGATTCGGCCTCCTTTAGTTTTGTGCTAATTTATATTTTTAACGTTTCATTTTGGTTTTTTTCAAGGCATTAGTTTTAGATTGGCACCTCTTATATTTCTAAACATCTTGCTAACATACCAATTAAAATTTATAAATTTAAATATGCCTTATTAAGTTTTCAGAAGGATTATATTTACGGTGGTATTACTCTGCAATGAGTAATAATGCAAAAATTGGATCTCATAGAATAATATTAATGGAAGGAATTGATTTTCACAATCTAAAAGGACGTTATTAATATCTTGAAATTTAACTTTCCGTACCCTTGCTTTTGTATCTCATGTATGAAAATCAAAGTTAGCAATGATAATGATAACAATAAAATCATAATACGTTAATTATTTCAAATAATACTTTAACATTTATATTTTTATCTTAAATATAAATTAGTAAGCTTATTTCATCAAAATTTCATTATTTACAAGTGTTCTTGTATAAATTAAAATAGGTAAACTCAAAGGCGCGAAAAGTTATATTTTTTTTCTTGTTAATTAAATTTTTAGACGGAAAATATCTATTTTAAATAGTATATATCTTTTCTATTAATCAATAATATATATGTATATTATTGTCAGAGTATAAAATTATTTTCTAATGATGTGATGCTTTTAGCAAAATGTAAGAAAAATGGTAAATACAATGCTTTTCAACCTTGTGTTATTTTCACCTGCTAAATTCCGGAAGTGGTTTAGCTATTCCTTCGCTGTAAGCTTTGTGAACTGCTTCACATACGAATCTATACTGACTCTGTAACCAAATATTTGTTTTATTATTAATTACAGTATAATTTTAATCGTATTTTTTTCCTTTAATTTAACTTACAGCATTTTGTATCATCATTGCTCTTTGATCTCTCATAGATCGCACAATGTCTAGTGGATATACTGGTTGATTTGCTTCGATAAGACACAGTGCTGTTTCCATTAACACTAAAACACCTGTTCTGCCTATTCCAGCGGAACAATGAACAACAGCAGGTTCTACCATTCCTGTTCGAGCTGCCCGCACTCTTTCAGTAAACGTCGTAAATTGTCGCCAATCACTAGGAACACCATGATCTGGCCAGCTGCAGTATTGCATATGCGTTATGTCTCTTTCCTCTCCAGTCTATAAAATATATAGGCAATCAATCATCAATCGTACAGCAATAAAACATAATATAGTTTCTGATTTTATTTACATTAATATCACGAAGTATGAATTCTCGAAATATAAAAGTGTCTTCAACATTTTCAGCCGTGGATGTAAGCGTAAGATTCCGCAGTGTAAGAGTTTCGTTGAGCGCAGGCCAATACTGATGACATTTTGCTCGGCCACGATCAACTAAAGTTGTAAGCATTACAACGAGAGTGCTGCCTGCTTCTAAAACCATCTGCCAAAAATCAGCGACTGTCGAAGACAATGGTCCTTGGGTAGCAATATATCTATTGATAATACCCGATCCTGGTATTTCCATATTCACATAGTTAGCATTAATGTAATCTCCGCTCGCAGAGCCCATGAGTATCACTCGAGTAACATCGTCTGCAAACATATTAATTCAAAGAATTTATAGAAAACTTTATACATTAAATCTTTTTTATTCTTACATGGTGAGATATCTCGGTAACGATTTTTGCTCTGATTTTCAGGCTTCTTGGATTCAAGAGAGGTAAGCTCAGGATTCTTTCTGTACAACTGTTCGTATTGCGCAATTAAGGCACCACTTGCTAGACCATCAGCAAGGAGTAACATTGATTGTGCTAATGCATCTGATCCGATAGCTGCGTGAGGTGCATCCGGAACGTACCTTGTTTAAACAAAGGTATTGGTATTAATATTTGGTATGATATTTAATATTTTAATTATCTATAACTAGATGTAATACCTATATGGAGGTTCTTCTTCGGACGTTTCATCAGTACCCGCTAAAGCATTGTACAAAGCATTTGGCCTAACTGTTAATGTCAATTCACCTGAGCCCGAATCACGAGACTGACGAATTAAATTCACTACATGTTCGTGTAACAATCCACTCACATCGATCCCATTTATGTATACTACCTGTTTATTTATAACAAATAGTTTGAATAGTTGCAATTCAAATGCTAACAATAATACAAACCTGATCTCCTTCATTTAATTTTGGATAACAACGATCGGCAGGTGTATTCGGCGCTACTCTGGATACTAAAATAGGCATGTCAAGATCTAAACCACCTTTTACGTTAAACCCAAATCGACCCTGTTCATCTGGCGTTAAAGATATAGTTACTAATCCATCTTCCACTATCTGTAAATCACCACATTTGACATTATTCATTGTAAAAATAATCAGAAATTAAAGAACATCAAATATGTACCTGGGGAGCAGGTGAACTTGTAGGTTCACTATAATCAGGAAGATCATAAATATTTCTTTCGGCCGTTGTATCATCGTCCACATAACTTAAAACTCTAGATCCTAATATAGGTGAAAATGCATTTCCCTGGGTATGCGAGCCTGTTATTTCTTCTCGAAGAGACAGAAAACCGCCTTCACTATGGAACAAGACAAATTAATTTAAGATAAAAGATTACATTTTTAAATGGCTTAAATTGATTTCAACTAACTCGTCACTAGGATTCCCTTCACCCCAGGCTTGACGAGGTTCACGAGCACCAAGAGATTGAACTTTATTATCATACGGCCTAGGAGGTCTTCCAGGGGGTATAGATAATTTCCCTTTTTCTTCAATAATCGAGGCTGATGTTACCCCGTGTACTAATCTTTTGCTAGGAGATCTAAATTTATTAAATTGTCATGTTATATTACGAATAACAAATAATATGATACTCTATAGTATTACCTAATAAACGTTCTTTCCACCCTGGCTCTATGCTTTCCATCTTCAACTGTTTGGAATTCAGTACGGCCTGAATAAGTAAATCTACTACTTAAGGTGAGTGGAAAACGCCTTGGCCTCGTTTTAGGACTGTGAAGTCTAAAAAATGTGTGATGCTCGACACATGCTTTCCATAAATTTTTTGAACTTCGATATGTTTGCATGTTAAAACCAAGTAATGTATCGTAATTTTCTGACTAGAATGAAATTTTGTATACATTAGCAAAAAGCTCTAACGATATTTTTAATTATAAAATAGAATATTTCGAAGTACCTGTTCTCTTCTGAGTTGAATAAAAAATTGTTTCCGTTTGAACGAAATTTTAACTATTTTTGACCATGAAAATACATTGATTTTTATTCCGTTTTGAAATACTACTAAGCCTATAGATGTTACACCTAATTGTATTTCTTTATTCGTTGAATCCTAGATAAAGAATAAAGTAAAATAAATTGAAACTGTTAAATACTTGGAAGAAAAATTGGTAATACAAATACGTACCCTAGCTTTATGTAATTCTACCCCATACATATCTAATCTCTTTGCATGATCTAAAAAATTGAATTCTGCATCTGCTGGTAATTGACCCCTAGAGAATATGTAATATTAGGTAACATTTCTTATAAAAAATAATCGATTAATGTTATATGTACAAATTCAACCTACTTATGAAGTTTATGTAATTCAGAAATTTTTTTTTCCATTTCTTCAGTCTGTCCTGGTATTAACTGTAACCTCGAAAGATATCCTGGACCATGTTCTTCTGGATGATAATCGCCTAACTCAGCTGTAATCACATAAAAACTGTAATATTGTAAATAAATTTTACAACAAAATAAATGTTAGTGTAGTGCAATGCTTACATTGAACAGTATAACTGGCAATAAGACACGCTGTACTTGGTGGTAACTGAAGCTTTCCTTGAAGAATGTCTCTTCGTATTTGTAAGTAAAATTGATATCTAGTATATTCTTCTTGTAATTTACTAGGGTCAGATACATAAAACTTCACTCTAAAATAAAATTGTCCGCCTGAAATGATAAATTATTTTACATTATCTCATGAGGTTTGTCTCTGTAGATACAAGTAGGCAATCTAAATAGGATCTTTACCCTTACTTCTTATCTGCTTCTTAACTGGCTTACTAGGATCTAGCCACCTCTAAAACATTCAAATCATTGGATTACTTAATGAAAAAATTTTCATAATAAAATTAGTACAAGATTTTACCATTACATCGGGTGAATATGTACAGGTTGTAGCTCCATTTTCAGCATATTGCAAACCAAAATAATCTTTCTCAACAAGTTCCAAGTGTTGAAATACCAAATCCAATAATGCTTGACCCTTTGCTCTTTTCTAAAACATTTAAAATAGTGTCTAAACAATAGAGAAAAACATTTTATTCTTTTTTCTATTTCTTTGTAACAATTTATAGACTTACATCTAATTGAAATGTGTGTTGAGTATCATCAAGGAATACAACAGTTGCTGATAAAGATTTTAGCCTACGATTTCTTGCTAATTCAGCACCACGAACGTGGTAGCTCCCACTGGAGCCACTCAACGCTCTACGAGATACGCTTTCAATCATCTCAAAGATTTGAAGGCGTGTCAACCACCTTCCCGACACCGCCTCTCTGCTATGCTGACCACCTAAATGTTTACAAAAGAATGATCAAAATATTATTTAAACTATGTTAAATATTAATAGAAAAGTAATATCAATAGAAAAGGAAATTTAAATAACACTAGATGCAAGGTTATGTCATCAACCATGCTGTCTATTTTGATAAATAACTGGACAAATCAATCTCCTACAGTTACATAGTCTGATTAATTGTAAATCACTATTGATAGTGTAATTACATTCAGAAGATGTCATTGAAAATAAATTCATCAGGTCAGCAATCTAACGTCAGTTATATAAGCAAGTTCATGTCTACTATGTGCCAGAATAATATAGAACGAGGTATTCTGAAAATAGTTTACATAAAAGAAGCAAAATGAATTCATTAACTACCAAATATATTTAAATGCTTTGCATATCAATCCTTTCAGGCATGAAATACAAAATAAAAATTTCTTTTTATAAAATTAATTAAACTGTAATTGTATTTATTTGTTATTTATAATATAGAAATAGAAAAATATTTATAATTCAAGTTCATTTACAATAATCAACCACAGGTACAGTTTTACTGTGTGTTAAGATATTTGTTTTGTATATTACAAATGAAATGGTAATTATTTAATACAGGAAATATCCAAAGATTTTTTAGGCAAAAATCTTGAACTGTAAACATAAATAATTTCAATATTAACCAGGGTATATACGTATATTTCAAATATTAGAATAAATAATTAATTAATACGCATCAAAGCGGATGCGATGTGTAATTGTATTAAACAAGCATAGTAAAATCAACACTTACATTCATGATCCGTTGCACTACCTCCAATACATAGGTTTTCACAGGTGTTCCTGATAAGTTGACAAGCGAAAAACTGTTAACGCTTGTTAGTGCTTTCGTAAATGATATTTATTAAAACATCAGGGAAAAAATAAATCTTCTCTGTTATAAAGAAATTTCATCGAGAATTTTTTCTTTTTTAAAGCTTTTCTCATTATTTTCTACAGCCACATATTGATGCGTTAATTTTGAAAAAATGCAATCCCAATTAAACTAGTTAGCATTGGTTACCGTATCACTTTATCGCAGTTAATAGTAAAACAAGTTTAATTCTATAAAACTATAAGTTCTTTCACTCGATCAGCAACATATAAGGTAACGCTAATAAATCGGCACGACAAGCAATGATGTCTTTGAATTACATTCAATGTTCTCTTCCAACTTTACAACAACCATTGTAAATATTGTATGTATTCGTAGACTATATTATTCTGAAATAATTTCTTTCAACAGCATCGTACCATAAAGATTAACAATTTTATTTGCAATAAAATTGTTTGACGCCCTGATAGAAAATTTCACTGTGTTACATGCATGTACTACATTGTATGCATGTATGCGCGCATTTATATTAACCATAGAATAAGTGAAATTAAGATATTGTAATTCACTTTCTTCCACATACTATAGTAACGATGTTCGTTATTTATGGATTGTACATAATATAATGCAACAGTTCATAACGTAATTACGCTTCCTAACTTGGTATATTTTACAAATAACTTGCTGGTAATTAAGGTTGAAATATTTTGAAAATTGCGCATGTTATAATTGCTGTGTTTTACAAGAAAAGGCTAATTTTGTAGATTATAATTGTTAAAATATCAGATACAATTTGAAATTCTTATTACGGTAATCGAACAGTTTCGGTAATAGCGTTGAACGTGTAGGAAGTTGAAGAAACTTAAAATCATTTCGTGACTGCTACTTATTGCGTAACTTGAAGTGTTGATCTTCTGCAACAATGTAGAATAGTAAAGTTAATTTACGAAATTTTTATTAATCGTTAGCGTGCACTGTATTGTTAAAGTTATTTTTGCATTTGTTCACTGGGAGCGCTGCTGCATTTTCTTTCACGAGCGAATAGCTCACGATGCATCAAAACTATTCCCGCCGCGTGGCCTGTAGTTTGTGGATTGTAGTTGCGGTTTGGTTATAAATCCCGCCATTTCCGTATTAACTCGACGGAATTTTGATAGTATTACTTGTTTTGTAAGGAATATCAAGGAAAATGTGATAACCTCACGTTTTTTCAATTATCTGAATGTTTAGTTCGTTATCGTTTATGCCGAAAGGATTTGTTATATTTTTATGTTGAGTTGATTTCGCATTTCGCAGCCGCGTGTTGTGCTACGCTGAAACAAATTGAAAACAAGCAGCTATGGCAAACGTATCCGTTGACAAAGAAACGTTCTTTCGACGTATGAAACGGCTCTATTCCGCGTGGAAAGTAAGAAATCCACGATTATTTTATTTTGATGTTAGCGGTAACCGTTATTGTTCGATATATGAAAATAATGCTTTTTGTTTAACAGGATGGAGAAGTCGGTACAGATGACAGTTTTAGTAAAATGGATTGTCTCGTTTCTGCAGTGGGCACAGACGAGGATATCGTTTACAGCAAATCAACGGCGTTACAAGTATATTATTTTAAAACCTTCTGATTTTACAGTCTAGTCTTTATGCGCTTAAAAATAGTTAAATCATTTCTATCTTAATTTCTGCTTTGTTTTAGACTTGGCTCCTTAGTTACGAACTTACAGACACTATAATGATCTTAGCAGAAGAGTCTATTTGCTTCTTAGCTAGCAAGAAAAAAATTGAATTTCTAAGGAAACTTGAAAATCAGAAAGCAGAAGAGACTGGTGTACCCCCTGTGAAACTGCTTGTAAGAGATAGAGTAAGTATTTCATGTGATTCATGCTTTGTTCAACCACTCAAGATTTTGATCTTACATAATGTATTGTAATCTTTTTTTTTAGAATGACGAGGATAAAGCTAATTTTGCTAAACTTATTGAGACTATAAAACAAAGTAAAAAGGGTAAAACATTGGGTGTTTTTTCAAAAGAAAATTATCCAGGTGCCTTTATGGATGCATGGAGAGCTGCTTTGAAATCAGAATCTTTTGATACGGTATGATGTCATTTCTTATAATAATATAATGTGAGAATCGTTATCATAATGCTTACAATATACATTACTAGGTTGATGTTAGTGCTGCAGCTGCATATGTAATGTGTCCTAAAGAGGATGCTGAGATTCTTACAATAAAAAAGGCATGTCTGGTGTCTGTAGATGTTTTCACAAAGTACCTTAAAGATCAGATCATGGAAATAATTGATTCTGATAAGGTATGTGAATTATTTTCATTTAAAACTATGCGTGTGTCATTGATTTTGATGTATGACTATTTTTATTTCAGAAAGTTAAGCATTCAAAGCTTGCAGAAGGCGTAGACGCGGCTATAACGAATAAGAAATATGTAACCGGTGTCGATGTTACCCAAGTAGATATGTGTTATCCTGCGATAATACAGAGCGGTGGAAATTACTCACTAAAATTCAGTGTTGTTAGTGATAAAAATACTTTGCATTTCGGTGTCATTGTATGTTCTCTCGGAGCACGTTACAAATCTTATTGTTCTAACATAGTTCGGACGTTATTAGTAAATCCCACTAAGCAGATCGAGGTAACTTGGAAATTTTATATATAATCGTAACTGTATACTTACCGTAATAATACACGTTAATTGTCACAGGATAATTATAACTTCCTTTTACAATTGGAAGAGGAGATTCTAAAGAAACTGATAGCTGGAGTAAAAATCAGCGAAGTATATGAAACAGGTGTGAAATATGTAAAGGATGAGAAACCAGAAATGCTAGATCATTTAACCAAAAATTTCGGATTTGCTATGGGTATTGAATTTAGAGAGAGTTCGTTACTTATTGGTCCAAAAACTCATGCGGTAATAAAGAAAGGCATGGTGTTCAATGTAAATGTTGGATTGGCAAATCTTTCAAATCCAGATGCTACTGAGAAGGAAGGAAAAGTCTATGCTCTTTTTATTGGCGATACTGTTATGGTTAATGAGGTAAAACTACTAGAATATTCCTGTTATTGTAAATTGAAAACTGAATGTTACAATAAAATTATTTATCTTAGGGACAACCTGCGGTAAACTTGACACCATCGAAGAAAAAGCTGAAAAATGTTGGGATATTTGTTAAAGACGAAGAAGAAGAGGAAGAGGAGGGCAGTGGAAAAGAAAATGAACCTAAGCCGGAAATTCTGGGCCGCGGTAAAAGAACAGCGGTGATAGAATCGAAATTAAGAACAGAACATAGCTCGGAAGAGAAAAGGAAACAGCATCAGAAAGAACTTGCACAACAATTGAACGAAGTTGCGAAAGCTCGATTGGCTCAGCAATCCGGTGGCAAGGAACAAGAAAAGATACGAAAATCAACGATATCGTATAAAAGCCTTAGTCACATGCCACGGGAACCGGAAGTAAAAGAGCTTAAATTATATGTGGGTAAGTTACAATAAAGTAGCTTTTATTACACAAATGTAACAAGCGAACAGAATATTAAGCATTTTGTTTTATATTTTCAGACAAAAAATATGAAACTGTAATTCTACCCATTTTTGGTATCCCTGTACCATTCCACATATCCACAATCAAGAACATTTCTCAGTCTGTAGAAGGAGATTATACGTATCTCAGAATAAATTTTTTTCATCCTGGTGCGACAATGGGTCGCAACGAAGGTGGATCTTATCCTCAGCCTGATGCCACCTTCGTTAAAGAAGTGTCAGTATATTTCACACTTATCTATTGTTCAAGCACAAACATGCGCAACAATAATTTATGCTGTTTACAGAACATATCGAAGTACAAACACAAAAGAACCCGGTGAAATTTCAGCGCCATCATCCAATCTGAACACAGCCTTTAGACTGATAAAAGAAGTCCAAAAGAAATTCAAAAACAGGGAAGCAGAAGAAAGAGAAAAAGAGGATCTCGTGAAACAAGACACTTTAATATTGTCACAAAATAAGGGTAACCCGAAATTGAAAGACTTGTACATTCGACCAAACATTGTCTCAAAAAGAATGACTGGGGGTTTAGAAGCGCATGTAAACGGTTTTCGTTACACTTCTGTCAGAGGAGACAAAGTTGATATTCTTTACAATAATATTAAGAATGCCTTTTTCCAACCATGTGATGGTGAAATGATCATATTACTTCATTTTCATTTAAAGGTACTTGTCTTCTTGACGTCGGAATAAAAATTATTCTAGTTACTATTAATAACCATGTTACTTATTAACATTTTTAGCATGCAATAATGTTTGGTAAAAAGAAACACGTGGATGTACAATTTTATACCGAGGTCGGTGAAATTACAACAGATTTAGGGAAACATCAACACATGCACGATCGTGATGATCTTGCCGCGGAACAATCAGAACGAGAACTTAGGCACAAATTAAAAACTGCGTTTAAAAGTTTTTGTGAGAAGGTAATATTAAATTATAGATGTTTTATTTCAAACAACGAAGAGAAATGATAAATGCTGGTTTAGGTTGAAAGTATGACGAAGCAAGAAATTGAATTCGACACACCGTTTAGAGAACTAGGATTCCCTGGCGCCCCATTCCGAAGTACTGTTCTTTTGCAACCAACCAGTGGTTGTTTGGTTAATCTCACAGAATGGGTAAGTTCTGTCAGCTATTAATATCAATTAGATTAATTGAAAATTTAATAGAAATAACATACTTGTATTTATATTTTAGCCTCCGTTTGTTATTACTTTAGAGGATGTTGAACTTGTTCATTTCGAAAGAGTGCAATTTCACCTGAAGAATTTTGATATGATTTTTGTTTTCAAAGATTATCATAGAAAAGTTGCCATATTAAATGCTATCCCTATGAACATGCTGGATCATGTAAAGGAATGGTTGAAGTAAGTTTCATTAAACATTATTCTTCATTAAACGAATTCTAATGAAATAAAATTTAAACGTGTAATTTTTGGTTAGTTCATGCGACATTAGATACACAGAGGGTGTACAATCTTTGAATTGGACAAAGATCATGAAAACGATCACAGATGATCCTGAAGGTTTCTTTGACAATGGTGGTTGGACCTTCTTGGATCCAGAAAGTGATGCAGAAAATGAAGATCTGGAAGATGAAGAAGAAGAAGAGGATGATGCTTACGAGGTTTAAAATTTACTTCAATAATTATACAAAAACTTATGAAAGCAACAATGTTTATATTGTTTGCCTATTTATCTAGCCAACTGATTTGGACAGCGAAGAAGAATCCGACGATGACTCTGAATACTCTGAAGCTTCGGAAGACTCTGATAGCGAAGGTACTTTTCGAATTACAAAATATAATTTTGTTTATTTAATGGCCCTTACTTGATCTATTCGTGTGTCAGAAGAAGAACTAGGTAGCTCTGAAGAATCAGGTAAAGACTGGTCAGACTTGGAACGAGAAGCAGCTGAAGAAGATAAAGAAAGAGGGGAAGATGGATTCCGCGATGATTATAATTCTAGCAAGAAAAAGAAATCAAGTCGAAAACATTCACCTTCACCTTCAAAGGATAGGTATATTATTCAACTTCCTGTTTCCTTTCTCCGTTTTTCGATTGCCTTTAATTTCCACGGTATTTTTTGCAGGCATAATTCAAAACACAAAAGTTCTTCCAGTTCGAAAAGTAAAAGTTCGTCCAGTAGTAAAGATAAAAAATCATCGTCATCCGATAAGCACAGGTAACAAAACTACGTATTTACCTAAATTGCGTTCTCAAAGTTTAGACACAAAGGACATAATTTTGTTGTGAAATTGTGTTAAGTCTATTCTTTAATAATTAAAGATCGGATCGATCGCGGAGCGGGAGATCACACAAGAAAGTATCTCCTTCTACGTCATCCAAACACAGGTGATTAATATAAGTTTATATATATTCGACGACGTTTTATGTAACTTCATTTTTTTCTGTTTAGTCCTAAGAAGAGTGATAGACACGACAAACATGATAAACGCGACAAACATAAATCGTCCAGCCATTCTTCATCTAACAGTAAGAAACGATCTCGCGAAGAGAGTTCAGAAAGAAACGACAGAGGATCAAAGAAATCTAAGTATGTATGAATACACCTTATTAGATATAATGTAACGTAATAGAATTATTAGTTCACGTTGCTTTTATGTTTCCAGAAAATGAGAACAATTATCCAAATATGAGAGATAAAAGCACACCTGAAAACACGAACATCATGTTGGTTCTACATTAAGCTTTCTTACTTGTGGTACGTCAACTAAGTTATAAGAATAGTACATTTTCTTGCATTGATTCGTTTAAACTGCTCAGCAAACGATTTGTTGATATTATTTTAAAGTTCGATAAAGTACTCCAAGGTATAAAATGCTTGGAGGTGCAGTGATAGCGGTACAGTGTATATGAACATTTACGGGTAATGTATTCGTACGAACGTTTGCGATACATTTTTTATCAATTGTACATAAAACTCTCTTCTAAGTAATCAAGTATCGATTTTTTATTTGTATAACATATAGTTACTAACACGTATCATTTCATTCCATTGTTCGTTTGCTAGTGGTAATAATACATTTGTATTAACTTGAGTTAATAAATTGAAGTATATTAACAACGCGAAACAATATTTATTGTACAGACAGTGAATATAACGTTATTTCGTGATTATTACAGACAAAATGAGGAAAACCTATAATAGGTATACTATAATAATTGTAATACGCTCTCAATGCAAGACAATGCACTAGTGATAACTATCGTTAAATAAGATAACCAGATACGATAGAGATTAATTTACTAAGCGGAGAAAGCTGAAATGGATCAAAAACCTTTGATAATTTTGTTCGCATAGTTTTGAAATTTGTACCTTGGTAAACGAAATAAATACTTTTTAAGTTATTTATCATTAATTGTATAAATATCGTTCACTTACTCTAGTGAAGTAATCACAATTTAGCATGTAGCGTACGATTACGTTTTTTAATTATATAACGTCATTAAATAACAATCAGTTTTGTTCTCGAGATTCAAATATTCATTCATCCTTGAGATCTTACGTAATTTTTTTTCCTGTTAAGTTTCAAAGAAGAGAAACAAGAATATCGATAGGTCTACGTGAAAGTGAAAGCAAAATGAAAGTGTAACTTTACGAAATTTGTCATACCCTTGACTTACATTTTTCATTTTTTCTGCTTTTATATTGAGTAATTAACAAAGATGAAGGATACTTATCAACACTGGTATTATTTTTGGCAACGTTATATGACGATAAACGCCAAAGAAATACAGTTCCAATAAGAACGTAAATGTAGGTGAAGTGAAAGTACACTTCTGGTTAGTGGTTCTGCAGCTTTCTCCACGACATCACTAGCCACATCCATACATAATTCTAGCAGCTGACTGAGTTCAGTGTTTCACAATTTTGTGAATGACACGATTTTCTTTTTTATAACGAAACAATGTTATTCGGAATATATGTTGTAATTCTTTTACCGGTAAGGTCAACGAAAGGCTAGTTTTAAAGTATTTAAATCATGTCATAAATTTTATAAACTTAAATAAAATGAATGATCAAGTTTTTTCAAGGAAACGTTTGAGTAACTTATACATGAATAGCGTCGTGAAGAAAGTTTTTAATATACATTTAACATAGCCATTCTCTTGACAATAATACCAATAGGACTTTCTCAAAAGTCTCACAGAAATCAGGAATGTTAATATTTTTATAAGGATCATATGAATAGGGTGTGTTTTTATTCAATTTATTTAAGAAAAAGTGACAAAAACTAAGTACATCGTTATAAAAAAAAGGTTATCACATTTTATAAATATTTGTTATAAAACTTAGGGCTAGAGAAATTTTTACAAGGAAACGATGACAATCGGGGAAGAAAGAAACGAATCTAATTTCGTCCTATCTGATCGATCTGAGTCTGAAGATTGTTCACGACTTCCGGAGGAACGTGCTCTCCCAGAATTTCAAAAAGATTGATCTTTTGATCACCAGGAATTGATTCGTATGCAGCCAGTTCTATACCCTCTTGTACCTTTTGTATTGTCGCATCTTTTGGAATAAGATAGGTATTCTGTGCTTGTTTTATAGCCTCGTTACTAAAAATTTGACCATCTTTTTGAGGAAATGTTACCGCTGATGCTATCACGGATAACAATATTAACAGTGTACGGATTTCCATCTGAAAAGGAAACAAATACTGATTAGCTACTTTTTGTTTCACTTCTATCTTTTAATAATTGTATTATATTTACCGTCTCCTATATTGAATTGTACAAATTTTCATTGATATTCTTCATGTTAAGACTTACGAATGTGTACAAGTGCGATTTAGTAAAATATTATAATACAAATATAGTACTTAATAGAATAAGTACAAATTACAAGAACATTACTTTTTGCTAGTGACAATTTACTGTAATTCAGTTTCCCATAAATGAAAGAAATAGTAGCAGTAGATGAATTAACATTTTATAATTTTGAACAGCTCATTAATTTTAATTCTTTAGAAGGTTGCTTCCACACTTTCACTATAAGATGGTAAGTGATGCCAGGTAAGTAACGTGGACGACGTACTTTCTCACCCGTTTGGTCTTAAACAGAAGTTAGAAATATTAACTTACGTTTATTCACTGTCAAAGCCGTGCGAATGTAAAGCAGTGAGAACGTTGGTCGACCGTTGATAACTAACAGAAAGAAAGTATAGTTCCCAGCTGATTCCACGCAACTCGTTAACGTTCCAGGGTTAATTGGTAAAAGGAAGTAGGTCTCGCAATCGCAAAAAACCGATCTGGGATGAATGTTGCTCACGTTGGGAGTATCGTGTTTCACAATCGGTTGCCACGAAGCGAAACTAAGCGCGCGGCCGGCAGAAGCGGCTTTTATACTGGAGATGGTCACTGTGGTTGCGGTAGCACACCACTCTTGGGCATACAGTAAAGATCCACCTTCCAATTTCTTAAAAGTTGCAGGAAGAGACGCGTGATCATCACTTTTGCTTTCGTTTGCCCGGCGAACCGTTCATTCTTGGTGAACGATAAATGGTAACATTGGTTCGCAATCGATGCGGTATTACCGTAATGTCACGTTTCACGGTTCATTGAAATAACTGCAATTCATGGCTATTTATCTAGCACGAGTTTTTGCAAGTTTCTTGTGAAAAATATGATTGCCTGTTCTGTAGAGATTATACAGAGCAAGTTGCATATATTGATTATAAGCAGAGGTACTTTGGATTCAACAAAGCCGTTACACGATGTAACTCTTTTAACCATTTCTCTTTACGCTTTTACAAATACCATTGCACGACCCGCCATGAATATTAGTGACCTGTTAACCAATATGTAGTGATTGAAATAAACTCGTTTCACTTTTACCATTGTCCTCAGGCTAGTAACAAGATTCAAGTGTGTTGCTTACATAGTATTAATGCCCCAACCTTTCCATAAAATATTTTATTTTTTCAATCGTCTAACCTGCGAAATTTATCAGCAATAAATAGCAACAAATTTGCAGCGCTAAAAATTAAACGAGATTCTTGTAAATAAACTGTGTAGGTATAAAAAAGCTTGAAATATTAATCCATAAATTATACAGCAATAAATTGAAGCCAATTTAGAAATTCCTTGTATAGATTTGGAGTGGTCGCAATTTATTATGCATGTATAAACTATACATTGATTTGTGTATCATAAATATAAGACGGAAAATGAATTTATTCATCATCATAGATTCAATTCTTTGTTAATTTTATCTTAATTAAACATTAATTTACGGGTATTAATCTTTAAAATGCAATTATTTTAAATAGTATATGCTGGAAATTTTGCCAAATGTGGATGTTGTATATCGATCAAGAAATAAATAGTACCGGCAAGACCTATAATAATACATACGTATACTATTAAAAAATACTAACAGTGGGATACATATGATAACTGATAGTAAAATACCTTCAAACAATGAATATGGTCTATCAGGAATCCTAGTCTGATGTGCTTTATAATCCGTACACCACTCTGCAAACCTACAAGCCCTATATAGATGTTTCACATCCTGAAAAGCAATACCAATATTTGATTAGGACTTATTGCAATATTGTTATATTCTTTTATAAATTAAATGTAACCTTAGTCTTTTGGAAGAGGGTTAAGAATGTATATGCATTTCCAGCTGCTCCATGACATATTCCACACCCTTTTTTAAGCAAACCTCTTGCCCAAACTACTTCTCCGCATTGTAAAGCAGTATTTAAATACTGCTCATCCTGATATATCTGCTCAAATAGACATTTAATTAAATACAAACAACTTAACAAAATCGGAAACAACATCAATCAAATAGTGACCACCTCATAAGCCAAAGTAAATAACATAATCATTCCAGGCGCTCCATGGCACCAATGCACCAATTTATCAGTACGACTTCCAATAGAAGATGGACAATTTCCAGAAGGATACCGTAAACTCTGAAGAAAATCTAATGCCGGTTTTATGTCTCTTGTCAGTTGACTCTGTGTTAAATACTGCCGTGCCTACGGAATAAATGTGTTTCTGTGTAATCTATATTATTACTTAAGTAAATTACAAAAGTAAAATACCTGTAAGAGCATATATAGTATTCCACCCAAACCATGGGCACCGCCAAGGTACTCTGAATCATGCCAGGCATACATGAGAGGTGTCTTATATTTTCTTGAAGCAGAATATACATTTCCAGATTTAATTATGAGTGCAATAACCTGATATAATACTTTGTTTAATAACTAGTATTGTAACAACATTGCCTTTAATCATAGCTTTACTGCTATTGAATACCTGTTTAATAAGCTCATCTTCTATAGGAGGGGGAGATATATTTGAATTTAAAAATAGAAGACAGAATAAGTATCCAGCCCTTCCATAAAGTAATTCATCAGGCAAATCGCTACATTCATCCAGAACATAAGCAGATACTGATTTTACTCTAAAATACAAATTCATAGAATAAGTATTATATTTATAAATAAATGAAACTATGATCTATATACTTTGAAATCATATTAAGTGCTTCTTCTTTATGGCCTTGAGAATGAAGAACTACTGCACTTAAAGCTTGCGGACCCACACTACCAGTTAAGAATGTAACTTCTCTTCTTCCTCTGAATTTACTTACACATATTCTTAACCATTCTGTAGCTTGCTATAATAAAGAATGTGTAACGCATATGTAATTTCCTTAATTACATCCCTTAATTACATCAAAATAATTAATGATACGTACTTCAATATAAGCAGGTTGATTGAAGCATTTCCCATATTGATAATACATGTATGCAATCCCTGCTGTTCCAGTGTATACAGAACAATCATCATTGTACGTCCAATTATGCCTCTTTTCTTTCAATTCGTCCAATAATCTCTTTGTATGCATTCGTAGGGTTTCTTTATAATTTTCATTAACCTAACAAGCATAAATCTCATTCATCGTACATATACGTGAGTTTATAAATAATATATGTAATTACCTCATTTGTAGAAGCATTCACAATGGAATTTGCGGAAGGATTGGGATAATCTTCAAACGGATTGTTATAATGCCGGTTATCATCCATTTTGTCACAAAACAAACGTCTGAATTGTTTAATGGTGTTTAGACGTTTAGTAGATGTTTGTTCTGCCTTGATTTTATATCTGATAATTGCCTGAAACATATGTTACATACAGTACATTTATTTATATGTAAAATTACATACGATAACACTGGTTAGTATCTTTTGCAATACTAAAAAAAATAAAAATTATAAAATTACCGGCTCAGTCAGCAGAAATGTTATCTATATAGTACGCTCAGCAGTGACTACAAATGCGAAAGACTGGACATGCCTTTGTTTTCGAGGAGTCATGTTTTATGGGGTCTCAGACACCAACCCCACGGGCCCACGGACCTACATGAAGCTAGCCGAAATATACCCTTATTTTATTTTCTGCGTTCATTTAATTTGCTGTAATTATGTTCTTAACTTATTGAATAAACTCCTTAGGAGGACGAACGTGTTGATTTTATTACTTCCGTCTGCACCCTTTACATCTCTGATTCCACTATATCTCTGCATTCCTTACATCCCAGCAACCCATACATCTCAGTATTCCTAACATCTCTGCATCCCTTACATCTCTGATTCCACTATATCTCTGCATTCCTTACATCCCAGCAACCCATACATCTCAGTATTCCTAACATCTCTGCATCCCTTACATCTCTGCATTCTTTTCATCCATACATTCTTTCCGCCCCTACATTCCTTACATCGCTTCATCCCTTATATCACTACATTCCTTACATCTCTTTATCCCTTACATCCCGACATTCCTTACATCTCTTCATCCCTTACATTCCTGCCTTCTTTATATCCCAACATCCCTTACATGCCTGTATCCTTTACATTCTTGTACCACTTATATTCCTGCATTCCATACATCCTAGTACCTCCCTGAAATTGAGTTGAAATTTTTGCGGCTATAAGGCCTGCGATTTTATACAGATTTAGTTCCTTTCTTCGCCACCAGAGGGCGCTGATTCGGCCTCGACATTTTAGTTCACATTTTTGCCGCCAGGGGGCCAGAAATGAAGCAAGATTTAATTCCCTTTTTCGTCGTCAGAGGGCGCTGATTCGACATCGAAATTTTAGTTCACATTTTTGCCGACAGAGGGCCAGAAATCGAGCGTGATTTAGTTCCTTTTTTCGCCGCCGGAGGGCGCTGACTTAACATCGAAATTTTAGTTCACATTTTTGTCGCCAGGGGGCGCTATTTTTTTTTTTTTTTTTTTCGAGAATTCCGCGAAAATTTCGAAAAAACTTTACTTACCTTTACTCGTAGCAGTCTTTATAATATATTTATTATAAGGGATGCAGAGATGTAAGGAATGTAGGGATGAAAAGAATGTAGGGATGAAAAGAGTGTAGGGATGAAAAGAAAGTAGGGATGGAAAGGATGTAGGGATTTAAGGGATGAAGAGATGTAAGGAATGTAGGGATGAAAAGAATGCAGGGATGTAAGGGATGCAGAGATATAACGGAATTCCGTAAGGGTCCGATGCTGTGGCCCCAGTCTCCACTGCACGCGGTCGAGGAGTGCCGGCATCGGGCGTGGCCCCCGATGTCGACGGAGTTTGGCACATGGTGGAGGGTCAAAGGACCCTCCCTTCCGCCCTAGTGCAGGGCACCGTGGTGGTTTTAGTGGGTAAAAATCCCACACTATCTCCGGCCCCTCCCCAGGCGGGCTGAAGGTAGCCCACGGCGTCCAACACTGGCGCTGTGTCTAGGGATGTCTGGGACCCCAAAATCATGTTTCCTGGCAAACAAAGGCTTATCCAGTCTTCTACTATCTGCAGTCACTGGCGATACGACACAAAATACAGAAATTTGCAGGACATGGTGCCTCTTACCACCTCTTACCTCGTTTGTGGTTTTACATTGAGAGCTTTTGTAATTTAGTAAAGTGTTTGCTGATATTTGGACCATTTTACGTAGTCGTGTATTTTAAAACAAAATGGTTAGTTATTTCATACATACCAACAATTGTACATACAATTTTTAATTAATAATTAATGATCAAAGCTACACGTTACAGGATATATTTAAACATGTGACAGCATAACGTCGATGTCATTTCTCCGTTAAAAATGCTAATTTATTAAATATACGTGAATTTTTCAAAATTTGTGCATTTTATTTTCAAAATATTGTTATGATGGAATTTAGTCCGTTCATTTTATAATAATTACAATAATTAGCGAAATTATGGTTATCTTATTACGTTTAGTTACGTGTTATAATTTCTTAAATAAAATATAATGCATATTATTTTATTGTAGAAACCCTTGATGTTACATGGGCATGAACGTGCCATAACAAAAATCAAATACAATAGAGAAGGAGACTTATTGTTTTCCTCTAGCAAAGACAAAAAGCCAAATGTTTGGTACTCTTTAAATGGAGAACGGCTTGGAAGTTTTAATGGACACAATGGTTCTGTGTGGTGTATAGATGTCAATTGGGATACAACAAGATTTTTATCCGGAAGTGGTGACAATTCATTAAGAGTTTGGGATTGTGAAACTGGTTTGTATTTTGCTGTTATTGCTTTTGTTAATCTCTAGACAAAACATGAATACATTTACTTGAATACGTAATCTTTGTTATATACCTCTATGTTTATAGGAAAAGAAATAGGTTTACTTGAGACAAACAGTTCAGTAAGGACGTGTAGTTTCAGTTACTCAGCAAACCTTGCTGTTTATTCTACTGATAAAGCTTTAGGGCATCAGTGCGAAATGTTCATCATTGATATAAGAAATGTTGATGCAAAGTTATCACAAGAAGATGCAATTTCCAGAATTGCAGTCACTGGTCCCAGAATCTCAGCTATTTTATGGGGTGCATTAGACGAAACAATTATCACTGGTCATGAAGATGGTGAAATTGCTCTTTGGGATGTGAGAGTAAGTAATGCACTTGTGCATTCAGGTATAAAATATGCACTGGATATAACTGATCAGGATGTTTCATTTGTTCGTAGACAAGAAAGAAATTGTCAAGTGTCAAAGGACACAAATCACAAATAAACGACATGCAGTTCAATAAAGATGGCACCATGTTTGTAACTGCATCGAAAGATAATACTGCCAAATTATTTGACAGTGATTCATTGATGTTACTAAAAACGTATAAAACAGAAAGGCCTGTGAATTCTGCCACAATTTCACCTGTCTATGATCACGTATGTTTTCCGTACACAGAAATGTTTATAAAACATGATTGAATGCTTGAATATTTATAATCGTATTTCTTTAGGTGGTTCTTGGAGGAGGTCAGGATGCTATGGATGTCACAACAACGTCTACTCGTCAGGGAAAATTTGATTCCCGATTTTTCCATTTAGTATTCGAAGAAGAATTTGCTCGTTTGAAAGGACATTTCGGTCCAATTAACTCTCTTGCGTTTCACCCTAATGGTCGTAGCATTTCAACGGGTGGGGAAGATGGATATGTTCGTATTAATACATTTGATCAATCGTATTTTGACTTTCATTTTGAATATTAATTTTGTCAGATAAAAGTAATAAAATGTGTATAAATCAAACGGATCATGTAAATTATTTATTTCCATGAATTTAAATATATATTTTTTATTCGTATAAAAAAGAAACAATAAATGTACTTATGAAAAAACAGTACTATCACTAATGGTACACAGATCAGAATAACAGGTAGTAGGATTATTAATAGAGATTCAAAGATATAACATAAGTTATATTGCATATGGCATACATAATCATTGTATATAATATCATAATACGATGTTGTATATAATATTATACCTTGTACTTAAAGTACATCCTCACCAAATACCGCACCTTTACTTGAGCAACATCGTATACAATAAATTCATTGTACAATAGGTCTGATTTTTTAGGAAGTTTAGCAGGTACAGCTGGTCCATATGGAACTTCGACACCATCTTCCATTTTATGAACGACTTCGGGATCGGGCTGTGTCTGGCCATGACCCCACGTTGAATGTTTACCTTGGGGTAGTTTCTCAATATAATCTGCACGATATCTTTCATACATATTACCCAATGCTACTTCAGAAAGTAACAATAATCCAGTAGGGTCTCCACTATTTGTACAACAATAATTCGCAGATTTGGTAACCATATCTGCGAAGTATATACCTTTACCAAACATATATCCGGTAACTGGAGCTTCTGGTGGAGCTATTCTTAATCCCTGAGAAAGTATACCAGCAAAGTTAGTTGTTCTAGAACCATGCCATAATAATTTTCTATTATGTAGTTTCTTGAATGGCTTATATCTACTCTCTTCTCCTTGTCTCTTAACAACAAATACGTTTTCAATCACAAGTTCATACTGCGTGTGAGTCTTTCCATGAGTATTCTTTACGTATTGATCAATAACTTTGTATTCCTCACTTTCTTTGTCTAATATTTTAATATCAGTATGTAATTGCTCGTAATGAACGTCGAGTGGATTCTTTGTTGCATCGGTCTTGGTATGCAACAGAGAATAGGCAATTTCCATTTCGAGTAACGCATCTAACATCTCACACTTCACATGAATTTCTTCGATTGTATCCAAGACTTTAGGTCCAGATACTCCAAAATTATGAGGTATTAAATTATAAAATCTATTAGACGCATCGAGTAAAAGAACGGAATCAACTGGTTTGTTTTTTAATAGTTCCTGAAGTTCTGTTAGTACCGAATAAGCTTTCTGAATTTGTTTTTTAGTTAACTTTCCAAGCGGCATTTTATCTACGTCAATTTCAAACTCTGCCATTACTTTTTTCATATGTCCTTCGTCGAAAATTAATCTTATTAAATCTTGAACTGGTTTTTCTAAATTACTCTCAATGTCAGAATCTAATAATTTTGTTGTAACTTCGTCTCCGTAATCAACGTCAACGGGATACATCTTATGAGGCACTTTAACAAAATGTTCTCTTTGAGACCAACGGTTTCCAGTTTTATCTTCGTACAAAAATTCAAACTGTGCTTTGCTATCTTCTAAGTGTAAGCTATCTAATTTGGTACCACCAATAGTTGTTCCTATCCTACCCCAACTTCTAAATAACCAGTATTTATTCTGTTTATCGTGCTTCAAAATCTGTAGCTTGTAAAAACTGTTTTTCTTTGATTGGATGTCTGTATGTACTAACGTAACAGTGTACTTATCTTTACCTTTTTGATATACGTGTGCACAATCTTGCAAACCACTATCTGGGTCAACTGTACTACCTTCCTTTACTTGTAGCTTTACTTTACCTGATGCTGATTTTTCAAACATGCTTTTACCTTTGCTTTTTGCAGCAGACTTTTCTGCCACGACATTAATTCTATTAGATAAATTACCACCCCAACTCGAAATAGTCTTTTTCTGAATAAGTGTAATAGCAGGCATTATGTATTCTTTTGCTTCCTCAATAAAATCTTCAGTAATAACTTGAATATTAAATTTTTTAGCTTCTTCTATCTTTTTGTTCATTTTTTCTATTTCCTGTTGGTTTGATATAATAGCAGCTACATGTTCATGAATTTTTGAAGTTACATCCCCTCCCAAAAGCATAATATCTTTCTTCAAACTGTCTTTATTTCTTTCTGTACGTCCTATAATTACGAACTGCATGTGTTTTAATGGTTTCGGTTTTGCCTCAATTTTAACTCCAGAATCAACATCATCTTTTTTCACAGATGTAGATGTTGAAGGTACAGCCAGTTTTATGAGCCTTTTTCTAACTTTACACTTTAAAGATTTCCTGTTAAAATGTTTAAACAATTAGTTTTTTCTTATTATTTAGAGTTTTAAAGTAATAATCAAACAAAACACTTACAGTCCTGGGTATGGTTCTTTTAAATTTGCTGGTATAACAAACTTTTTTCTTTTAGGATCTTGTGTTACATATTCACATTTAGTCCATTCTGTTAAATTTCCAGTACATTTATATCCAATCCCAGAGGTATATGCAAGTTGCCCATTACATTTTGTGCATGGCTTTAAGGCTCCAAAATAAATTGCATCTGCCAAACGATCTATTATCTGTAAAAAAAAAAAAAACATTCTCACATTATTACAAATATTATTTGTTTAAAATTATAAGCTATGTATTGCTGATGGTACATACAGCTGGTACACCTTCTGGAATTTGTTGTTCATTTTTCTCAAGCATGGCAATAAGATCAAGCTTTTTTATTGGAGATAGAATGTCTTTAATTTTAAATATTTCTTGGTTCTGTTCTTTCATTTCTTCCTCTTCTTCTGCATCTTGAGTTTCGTTTTTAACTTTCTTAATTGGTATATCATCTGATTTAATTTTTGGCAGGGCATTTTTAACTTTTGCTTGGTCTTCTTTAGAAAAATCTTTTATACCAGGAAGCACATCACCACTTTCATAAAACTCTAAACTTTCTCTTACTTTTGCAAAGCATTCAAGATGATGCCATCTATCTATACCACCATACCTTCTACCATGTTCACTTTCAAAATCTTTCTTTGATATTCTTATCTCACCTTGTACTATCCTTTCTTCGCACGCTTTGCAAGTTGATTTATTTGATTTTGCATATTGAACAAGAAAATCACCTAATGGACCAGCATTTTTTGCAGCAGCATTACCGCGTTTTTTACCTCTTCCACTTGTAGGTAATGGAAGATTAGTTGATTCCTCTAAAAGTAACTCTTTATGTAGTTAAATTATTTTATTATATGATATTGAATGCTACTTTTGTTAAAGCACAAACCAATTTTTTTTTCAATTATCTTCTGATCTTCCCATCGAATATTATCAAAATTAGCAATATCTGCAGTACTTTTTGGCCTTTGTTTCATAAAGAAACAATCTGGATGGTACCATCTTGGTATCAGTCCATCATGCATTGGACTCTGAAATTAAAATGTCATTAATAAAAGGTAAAATACTATTAATTTAAACCTATGTAATTTTCAGATAAATATTACACGGATATGAATGTTAAAAATAATTACGACAGATTGCATTGTAACTAAACATACACCGAATAATTTCTACAAAGAAACATTTTGCATATTTTATATTATCATGTTTTCTACTTTATATGCATTACTAATTGCATTACGTAACAGTACAAAAAATGAACATCAATTTAAGAGCGAATACAAGTTTTAAAATGTATTGTCGTTAGCGATAATGACGCATAAACGAAATGAAACGTTGCTATTTATGGGGCATGTTGAATGATGCGTACCTGTATTACTACGGCAAGTCTTAACGAATCCTTTGCAATAGAGCTTTTGCAATTTTGACAAGATGCTCGTGCACTTTTCGCATATTCGACAGAATATGGTTGATCTGCATTCATTATTCTGTTAACGGTTTTACAATGTCAGTTGCGAGGCGTCGTACTATGATGGAAGCCGCGCAACAGCCACGAAGCACAGGACAAAATGCGTGTTACCCGCCAAACTAAATTCGTTCTTTTTTTTTCGAATAATACATATAATAATAAATTGGAACATAAGAATAACAAATCTTAAAATTATAAAGCATTATTACAATTTTATTTACTTATATTTATTTAAAATAAACAATTAAAAAGATGTATCAAATAATTTGCCGGCATATAGTTGCCGAATTGACTAATCAGTTTAACCGGAAATAGAATTTAAGTCTAACGGACCTTAAAATTTACCTTATTTAATGTTAACAAATTATGCTTTTACTACTTCTTAATTTATACGCATGTTTTGATTTCAAAATGCATGTTATAAAATTGAAACGGTGTTTATCTTTCATGAGTTTATTATTTGATTCGTAAGATCATTAAAGACTATATGTTTTTTTTGTTGATTAAATTTAATCTTATATTGATAATTAAGAGGTAAAATATATGTATATTTATCTCAAGACAGTACAAGCATTGTATTATTAATAATTAATAATCATTATAATAGTTTTATTTTTTCACAGTATTTTATTTTATAAAGTAAATATTTTTACAATTCCATTAAAATTCATTGATTAGTTGGATTTTGTAGACAAAATGATGTGTTATTGCACGTAGTTCGAAGGAGTTCAAGAATAAAGTATTAATTTTAATACAATGTTGGTACACTTTATTTTTATAATCATATAATATTGTACAAATTATTACAGTAAACTATATATTTCTGTAATTATGTCTATGAATGTTTCTCTGTTTTACCAACATGTCTTGCCATAAAAGTGGCTGGCAAGTGATAGAATTAAATAATACAGCCATACAGTGCAAAAATGCACCGTTATTTTCTTTATTGAATATAGTTTTTTTTCCTAAAATTATTACCTACAGTAACGTATAAAACTTATTAAGAAAAAATCGAAATTATTAAATTAAACCTGTTACTTTTTCAACTATCTACATATTAATATAAGCCTATTATTGATCCATAGTGCATACAAGAACATAATTAACTGTCCTTCTTTATACCACACTATCGCTATACTAGAATAATTTTACATATTTATATATATAATATTTTTTGTTAGATATTATATATATACATACATAAATATATATATATTTATTTAAATATCGCGATGTGTGCTAGTAAGTTCGGTATTCCATGATAAATTCATCGTTTTAACAGAAAAAATGTATACACATGTGTGTGCCATCCTATTTTATTGATATAATCCTTTATATTATACTCTATGTTAATGTACATTTTTCTTTATATTAAGAGCACGAAAATAAAACTTAATTGTCTTATTACAATGTTTGCGACGAAAGATTTCAACTTATAGCAGTAATACAATTTACAACTTTGAAAAAGTTTCTGATGTCACAACTTATTTCATACACATAACTTCAGTAAATGTTACAAGTTTAAGCAGTGAATTATAAGTTTCACATTCGTCGCTTAAAAATACGATGGCGAAATTAGAAAAAAAAAGAGAAGTATACATGTGATAGAAAAAAGTGAGAAAAAATTCTTGATACCTATTACATACCAAAAAACATCGCGAGACAGTCTAGGGCACTCTCGTTAATTAGTATTATTTGTTACTTGGTATATTCAGAAATTGCTTCGCAACGCGCAGACACATCGAATATATGGATAGTGAGGGCACTTTTTGCCCTACTTAGTTGTATTAGCGTTAATAACAAAATAGAATTAATTCAAATATATTTGTTTTAGAAAATGAATTTATATTATAGTGAATTTACTATTTAAGAGTGATTTCGCAATATGACATGTGAGTTTCGCATAAAATGTAAATATACTTTATATTTGTAGGTTTTCATAGGCATGTAGGTCAGGAATATGCAGCTCTAGGATTAACCAAGGAATTAGACTGAAGGCCACCCTTTAATATTTTTACAGTCTATTTTATCTATGTCTGATAACAACAATAAAAATTCTTAAATAAATATATCGGTATAATCATTGATGGAATATTGTTACGCAATCAACTAGTTTTTTTTGCCAAGAGTTGTAAGATTTATGTGTTGTAATTGCGTCTTAAGCATAATATGCATACACATGTACACGGCACGTCAGTCATTGTATAATACAACGACCATATGGAGTACCACAAAATTACGTGAAATTCAGTAAGACAAGACACATGTATCACTCGGCTGATCATTGCTATTTTCCTCTGCCTTGAGATGTACCCGATCTGGTTGTAGGTTTTGCTGGTTGTGGAATAATTGTAATTTCATCATTTATCTTCAACGGTTTCAGAAGGGAATCATTGGATCTGGACGATGGAGACGAAGGTGTATTCTTCTTATCCATCACTCTTTTAGCAACGACACTATGTGCCGAATAAACATGGTTTTCAAATTGCTTATACATTCCAAATGTGGCAGTGCAAACTGTACATTTATAAGATAGATGCGCTGGTTTTAGTGTCATTCCGTGATCTCGCGCGACATGATTTAGTAATTTCCACTGATATACCTAAAAATCAAGATCCACAACCCTCAAGTATCACTCTGTTTATACTTATAATTCCCAACGTGTCATATGTATTATAACAACATATATTACACAAAGTAAAGAAAATAAACTTACTCTGCCGCAAGCGGGACAGCGACCTGCATCTTTTCCTTTGTTTGCTGCTTCTTGCATACTAGATGTAACTAATCCATGAGATCCAAGTAAATGTCTTTCTAGACCCTATCACAGAAACAACACATCATTATAACATTTATACATTATACAATTATATAACAACAAAAAAAGAATTACCATTAAGACACGACTGAATATATTTATACTCTTGACAACAAATTTTATGGAAAAAAAGATATGCTTGTTTAGAACTATTATTTTATATACATTTTTATTAGTGTACGATAATACATATTCATTACTTAAAAATAGTATATGTACCTGATCTGTGAAAAACCGAAACTGACATTTTTGGCAATTCAGTGGAGGTCTATTATAAATCATCTTTGGATGTATTTTTACTTTGTGGATCCATTGCATATGATTACGTAGTTGTTCTAAATCCTGGAAAAAATATACTTTTATATTACAGATAAAAGATATAAATTACAAGTTACAATGGTTTTTCTTAAATAAGATACATAATTTACCTTAATATAACCATCGCAGATCTCGCATATAACAAATGTAGTTTTCCCCCCAGACTTCGACGAAGTTCCTGAACCAGGAACGGAGGTTTGAGATGTTGTACGCGGTAATGGAGTAATAGATATACTTGGCTGACTTAACAACTTTGCTGTGGGATTCTTGGGACTTGTTGTATTCTGAAAAATATAAAGTAAAATCGTATTAATATATTAATTAAATAACATGTACATCAAAGATACTAAATACTATATTATTTGATAAACAAATGTTTGAAATCATATTAAAAATTATCCATTTAAATGATTATAAATTACGTATATAAATAGTTTTTTAAAAATAATTTTGCTAGACATTTGGATATATATATATATATGATTACTTTCAAACCTTTTATATTTAGTATGAACTTAAATACTAGTCATTAACTTTAATCTTACATAGATAAGAACAATTGTTGTTTTAATGATAAAATTAGGCACAGACTTACACAATACAAATTATTATAAGGAACAAAATGTATTACTGAAATTAATAGTTACAGAACTAGTTGCACTGCACACTAATGATATGTTTAATTATAATCTTAAACATATTGTTAAATCCTATAAGCGATTGTGTATAGCTTGAATTATGATAAAGTTTAAGGAACTGGTTATAAAAGCCTTTTACACCTATAGAACACATCATCCATGCGATCACAAATTGTATATAAAATCAATTTAAACTTCCTGGTAGATTCGAACATTTATTTACCTGTGATGAGGACAATCTAGAGAGAGAGTCGATTACGTTGGGTACAAGTGCAATGGGTGTGGGTTGACCGGAACTGCCGCCGCTACTGCTACTCACTCCCGAGACAGCCGACATGACAGTCCCAGAGCCACCCACCACCTGCCACCACCCATATATTTTTTTACTAATTCTTACATTTTTATTTATTTTTATTTGTAAATCCGTATTTTTTATCTATATACTTATTAATACTGATGAAAATGAAGAATACAAAATACTTAAAATTAACTAAATAAAATAGGTATACAATTTAGATTAGTATTTTCTCAAAGGGAATAGTAACTAAGCCTTCTTTTTTTTGTTTAAAATGTACAATTTTTTACAATAATTTGGCATAATAACAAATAATACTCCTTTTCATACATTTCTTTATATTAGTACACCTACAAATGACTTCAAAGAATACACTACGCATATCATATGTGTGCTTATACAATTACAATTCAAACATATTACTTGTGGGGCATGACTTTACACGATTATCATTGCCCTAAATGCCAATAAATTTGCAAAAAAATTACGATACTCAAAAAACACTGAACATGTATAATTTTTCTACTATTCAAATTTTCACAGAAATAAATGTAACAGTGAAAAAAAGTATTACCTGAAATATTTGGTTGCTACCAAATTGGTATGAAGTAGGGACTAATAGACCAGAAGATGTTGGACGATACATCATTCCTGCAACATTATCTGAAACGATACAGCGTATTATATAATCGGACTTAAGAAACGAATATACGTGAATTTAGTATTTTATTAATTTTTCAGTAGCAAAAGCTTTACCTTGTCTCATCGTCGTACCACCCGGCCGTAACGTTTTTAAATCTGGATATCTTGGCTGCATAGGTGCTCGTCCTCTTCCACGTCCTGTGATAGGGGCAGGAAGTAATTTTGGTAAAAGTGGTTGTGGCCCTTTACCACTCATTGCCATTGCAAGGGCACTCGGGTTAGTAGGTCCAACAGGCCTCGTTCTATTTAATCTTGGAATCTTTGCTGGAGGTTCCCAATCGGCAGCTGGTTCCAAGTTTTTTTCTGGTCTGAATTTTTTAGTACAAGCAAGTATATGTCGTGTTAATTTGCCTTTTTGATTATCCTCAAATGGACAATTAGGACATTGATGAAAAGCTGGACCACGTTCCAACCTTCCGCGAGTATTATGTTCTGCTTCCATATGGAATAATATATCGTGAGGGCTACGCACTTCGACTGGACAGAAGTTACACTTGTAGACGTAATTGCGCATATGCGGTGTTTCTAAATGATGTTGCATGACTAAGGTCGATTCTGTTTTAAAACTACAGAATTCACATTTTTTCAGTTCTAAGTGGAATGGTTCATTATTTTCTTTACTAAATTCTAGGTTTTTAATGAGTGAATTTATAGCTAACTGAGTTTCAGCCGATGTGCTACCTTTGCCTTGTTTACGCTTTTGAGTCCGTAAAAGATCGGTTTGCACGTATTCTTGTACAAGATTTACTCCAATTTGCATGAAAAATTTTCCCAATGGTAAATCAAAATAAGTCAATACTTTATTCCTATCGTCTTGCCTTATGTCTTGTTTGTCACTTATATTACTAAATCCAGATTCGGTTAAATCTAACGAATTATCACCTTTGTCCTCCCCATCTTTGCTTTTAGAATTTCCTTCGTTTTCACTTTCTTCATCTTTGTCTTTATTTTTCTGACTTATATCCGACGAGTCGTCGTCACATTCTTCTTTATTCTCTTCCATGATTCTATTATTTCTTTCTTCCTTCTCCTTTTCTTCTAAGCATTTTTCTAGTTTTGTGACAAATTCTTTTAATGGTTTAAGAGGTGGTTTTTCATATACATATGGTACTATAAAAGATGGTGCTTCTACTACAAACATATCATCAGTCAATGTTGGTAATATCGGAGGTGTTACTGTAGGTGTTACAGTAGTCATACTGCTTGTTTTAGGACTTAACTGTGCAGATTTTGATGTCATGGGCACAGGTGTAATTGTTGTTCTCATATTAGGATACATTGTTTGTGTTGTCATACCCATTGGAACCACAGAAAATGAACTAGTACTGGAGGCAGTATGATGAGGCTTACTGCTACTTACAGGAACACCACCACGCCCAGAAAGAATGGAATTTGTGTCTATGATAACTAAAGTAGGTTCTTTTTTTCCTCCTTTTACGGATTTACTACCAGCTGCAATCTCTACTAACCGTTTAGTATCATTAACCACAATAGTAGTTTTACTGTTTTTAATTGGTGATTTCAGTTTAGAATTCTCTTTATCCTTACTATCGATACCAGCCAAAGGATCTTCTGGCTTAATTTCCTCTATATCCGAACCATCATCATCTACATCTTCTTCTATTTCTTTTTCTATATAACTTGTCCTTTTTATATTACGCGAACTTCTTCTCGGTGTAATGCTACCAAGATCTATTTGTTTCCTTGGCTTCCTCTGCTTTGTAGGATCTTTATTAGTACGTTCTGACGAAGAATTATGACCATTCTTTGCACTATCCGTTATCTCTTCGATATCAGGACTACCACAACTTCCATTTTCTTCACAAATTTTCACATCAGATGTATCCAGACTACTGTCAGCAATTTCATTACTGTCATTAATCTGTATATCACTACTGCTCGATAAATTTTGAATATCCTTAACAGCAGAATTTTTCATAGTGAACACATCATCATTATCGGAGTGTATTTCTGTTACACTTTCATCAAGACATTCAACATCTGAGTTATTACTTTGTTCGTCAACTTCCATAGCCTCACAAGATGTGTTTTTACACTTATCTTCAGTCTTAGACACTTCACTAAAATTGTCCGTCTCACTGACACCCTCAGATGATTTAGACGTTTTTGAGTCATTTTCTGACTCTGACATTTCACCCCTGTTGCTTCTACTTTCAGCTATCCCATTTTGTTCACTATCTTCAGATTCTAAATCCCTTTCTTCGATGTCAACATCCATTTTGTGTTCATCTTCGTCATCTTCTTTTCCATTTGCCTCCCTATTCCCCTTTACTGCACTGTTATTTTCTTTAGACACAAATTTAGATGCATTAATATTTGCATCATCAAATTCTTCTCTGTCATTATAATTTCCATTAACACCATTTGGAATCACATCTGAAAAATGTAAAAAAATATTTTCATAAAGATATTATTTAAAATGTATTATTAAATTATGAAACATAAGATAACAAAGATAAAATCATAAAACTGAAAGATTCAAAACTGATAAATAAAGTACTGGTAATATCTTACATAATCTACTTTTAGAATATTAATCACATTATTGAATGATAGCTTAATAAAGTATGTACTTGTGGTGTTATATCTTATACATGTACATATGTAATTATCTATATATTAATGACAATTATACATTAATAGTACATGATTCAAAAATAAGATGTTAAATATATATTTACAAAGGTTTGTTACAAAATAAGAATCATTTATACATAATTTAAACAGGCCATGTTTTCTTCAAAATGTACATACACATTTGATTGAGCGTTATAAAATACAATACAGTACACTATTAAAGTAAAACTGCAATAACAGTATTATTGTTCAATAACAACTTATGATAGCATAAACACTTAAGATGTATTGGACGAATGAGATGAGTTGCTTTGATCACTTAAAGCAAAGCAGTATAAACTATACCTTTGAGAACCTTATCAGGACTGGCCTGAGATGAGTCCTTAACAGGGGGTTCTTCCAATGTGCCTTCCATGGGGCCAGCACTGTTTAGTTGATCTAAACAATTAATAAGAACACAGGAATAAGCGGTTCGTGGCGACGACGCGTTTCATTACATCGACGACGTGAACGCGAGGGCGGGTAGAGGGAGGGAATTTTTAGCGGGGCCGAATTTTTCAAAATGGCGCTGCGAATTCCGTACTCCTATTTCCTTGTTCCCATAACCAACAAAGTTCGTGGTACGTTGATTTCCAGCCGACGCGTTGTCGAAATGCGTCAAATTGGTCCGAATGCTCTTGGCACGCACAGTTACAGAATTAATTAAGGGACAGGGAGTCACCCGTGGATAGAAATGATCGGACGAGTAAAGTCCTGTGAAGTAGCTTGAATGGTTAGCGTCTCTCAGTCAGTCACCTGCACTCGCCAGCCACCACGTCCGAGCGCCAGCCAGCCAGTCAGCCCTCCGCCGTACCTCTCCTCTCAACCTTCACAACCTACCAAACTACATCTATACCTACAACTTACACATTGAACTTTCGCCTTTCATACACGATACATGCACGTATTAATACGCATACAATCAACTCACACACGTCCTATCAACTTACTATCCATGGGTGTACGCGCGAGCGCACAACCTTCCGAACTCTATACTACATGCCGGACAACACACTAACCACCTACAGAACAACCCTATGACCTACCGAATCCGATCATGATACACTGATCTCCCACGACGATACTGCACTTAAACGGCTTTTTTGTACAAATATTCAATCGTTTTTGTCTGTACAACAACAGAAACCAAAAACCGATAAACATTGTAATACCGATTGATGTACGTGACGAAGAAGGAACTAGATAAACGCGGACCATTTTGTCAGATTATCTATAGAAATCTGATCCACCCGAACACAGTATTCTTATCCAAGGTTCTACGAGAATTTTTCGTAATAACCATTTGGTCTCTTATCAAAGACAATTCGAATGTTTGTGTGAAAACAAGTGTGAAATCGATGAAAATGAAAATAGAGATAAAATCTCTGTATAAATCTGGAGGGCATAGTATTCTTACTGAAGATGCTGAGCATACTTTAACCTACAGCAATGTTTAGCTTTATCCAGCGTGTATCTAGGTTCGAAATAATGGTAACAATGTTTGGAAGTTGGAAAACATGAAAGAGAATTCAAGGCACTGTTGACTTCAGATAAAAGGAATCCCATTCAGTATGCTCGTTCCGAGGCATGTCTCGTGCTACTTAACTCCCTATCCACGAATCCCGGCAGTTCGATGAGGTAATGGAACGCGTACGAACTCCATCCGTATCCTGTCACTAGGCACAAGTATACGCACCTGACCGCTTGCTGTCCTAAACGATTTTCTGATACCGCGACATTTTCACAACCTGCAATCTTCAGCGGTGGCGGTGGAGCTACGAATCGTCCTTATATGCACGGTACACGATTTATTCACAAACCTGTAAATAGTGAACATTCATCGCTGAAAATTAGGCACCAGAGGGCAGGCGCTACGTTGGAAACGTTAAAAAGTTATACCCAGGGCCGTCATAAAATCGTGGGTTCTTTTCATGAGGGTTAAGTAGAGTAAAATAGAAAAAAAAGAGGTCACAAAACGGAAGAAAAGCTATCTCCATAATCTTTCTACTTCATCTTCTCGCTATTCAACTGTTACAGTTTTAGCATCATTTCTATATTTAAATTCTTATAAAAATTACTTTATCATTAACATTCCTTACTATTTTTACAAAAATAAATACAACGTAATAATAGCATTTAGTATCGCTGATATTGAATCTTTAGTAGTTTTCTTATTAAAAAAGCATAGCATATAAGACTTGCTAATAAGTTTTCAAAAATGCATTTTTTCCTTTTTTTAAAATATTGTTATTATATTCAAATAGAGAAACACATTACATACAAAACATGGCCGAACAACTAAGTGTAAAAACATTAACACATTCTATTTAAAAGAATAAGAATAACTCGAATGTAATTTCTGTAATTTATATGTAAAACTTTTCTTAGAACTGTATTCTTTATTTGCTGACCACACGCTTAAGTAGGCGAAATTATGATGCAAGATAACTCGATAACCAAACGGTATACTTTAATATAAATTTCAAATTAAAATAAATTGTAAACGATGAAATCCAATTATAACATCGAATGTAACAAAAATAATAATAATGAATTCAATTTATAACGAGGAATTTTCAATGTGTGCTTATTCGAGTAATTTACATAATTTGTAGGTGTAAAATTTAATTACGCTACAGTTTGTTTTAATAATCATCAATATATCATGAATGAGTCACCTCAACACGGCAATAGTAATCTATTTTATCTAAACATTATCAAAAGATATACAAACATAATGTTTGAAGCAAATTTCATAAACATTTAACAAGACAACGGGACTTAAAGTATAGGGAAGGCGCAAGGGATTGAGAGGACTGTCACGGCCCTGGTTATATTGTGTTATTTGGTATCACAACTGTACAAATTGTAAAATTCAACAAATCAATTCCAAGTCCCCTGGCATGTTTTTATAAAGTATATTATTCTCTATGATCGACAACTAAACCAGTGGTGTCTACTAGATTTATTAAAATTTAGAAAGCTGCCGCCATTTCTTCATAAGGGCTGGCTTAACTGTCGAACAGCTGCCGTGGTGGTCGCTAGCCGATCGCGATTATCCCCCCAAACGAGGACCAATAATCGAAACACACACACATCGCAAATGCCGCGCTATTTAAATTCACTGACCGTTCGAAGCACTGATAAATATTCGACAACACACGCGACTCCTTCGGCACTTGATATACACCGTTTTTATATCAAAATTATTCACACATACTTTGTGTTTATTTGGGTTCGACGTCACGGATCCTCCTTACCTTCGTCGTCGAAAACTGCCAAGATGGCGACGATAATCACGTGACCGCAAATTTTATGACGTACGAGTAATGTTAAAGGGACTAAACGACCAGTAGCGCTTGTTATATATAATCACGTGACCAGGTACACGTGCACATCCAATGAGAGTCTCTCCCAAGAATAAGGACAATCTGCAATTGCAACAATGTATAATAATAGGGTTGACTAACAAGCCCCCGCCCTTTTCTATGGGATCCTTTGGTATACACCCCTGGAGTGATTTAAGTAATAACATCTAAAAACTACTTTGATATCTTTACGAATTTTATTAATATTTAAATTATTATTTAATTCTTGTAATATTCCAAGTGGAATAATATCCTTATCATCTATAAGTATCTTTTATCATACCATTGAGTATATAATTACTTCTCATATATGTAATTAAGACTACAGCTGCAATTTATTCTAAAATATTTTTATTACAAAATTTTAATGTTTATGCAAGTATCTTAAAAATTGTTGTTTAAAAAATAAAAAATAATATTTTCATTTAAATATGAATTCAAATACATAAAAAGTCTTTACATTAATTTCTATTATGTACAACATGTGTGCAAAAACACTCTAAATATATAAATAGTGTTAAAGATAATCTTCATCATTATCATTAAAAGATAACACAGTCTTTTCCTGTTTTCTTTTCTTTATCTTCTTTTTCACTGGCTTATCTATGGTTTCTGATTCTGTTAATTTATTTTTCCTAAATATGATTCGTTTAGATAGATCAGCTGGGGCATTAGTTTCTTCTGCAATTCAATATTTATATGAACATTATTTTTTAATAAATTAAAAAATTTGTGTCCGAAATTATGTAAAATTATACCTTCTTCTTTTTTTTTTTTAAATGCCTCTGCTTCTTCTTCAGTTAAATGTTCAGAATTTAATACAACCACAACAGGTTTCTCTTCATCACGTTCATCTTCATTATCTGAAGCTACTGGCAATACTTCTCTCTATTTTAAGAAGTCATTTAAATGGTTGTTTATGCTAGTTATAAACAAGCACTAATTATATTATACTTAATAATTTGATTAGAGTAAGTATGAGTATGTAACAAACAGGATTGATAACTCCAAAATCTAATTGTAAATCTAATAATATTATGTACTTGCTAAATTTTAGACAAAATAAAATGCAATCACATTATAATAACAATTAAAAAACGAAAAAGTAAAATATACCTTTGTCTCGACTGTGGGTCCTTCTTTATATCCAACTTGTTCTTTTAATTCACGTAAAAATTTTGGTTCGTTTGGTTTAATATACGACACATTGTGTTTTTTCCGTGACATTTTGTTAATAATATCAAACACTAAATCATAATATAACCTAATTTAACCGTCGTAAAGTTATTACGCAAACAGGCATAAACTTATATATTACATAGATTGCGCATCGAGAAGCACCTAGTAAAATTTACTAGTACATTTCATTGACTGGTTGGTATCAGGGAAAAATTATAGGAAGTTTATAACCCTATATGTGGCATTGTGTATGATTTAAAAATTTTTTAAGAACATGAAAAGACCAGGTCGAAACGAATGTGTTTTTGAATAAACTCATTGTTTCAAAGAATGAAGGGATGATTATATGACTTTAACATTGAAATAATATACATTTGATAATTTATTCCTTTTATAATAACGATAATTGTACTATTAACGTTTCCTCATAATTTATAATTTCTCGATTAATTACATAATCAACTATTCGTAAAAATTTAATAAAGATTTAAAAAAGTGTCGTAAAACATCGACATATTTGTACTAAATTGTACCGAAACTTAAGTAAAAAAAAGAAGAAAGAAAATGTCATTTATTAATCTAACATAATTCAATTAACTAAACACCATAATCAATATTATACACGTTCGAAAAAGTTTCAAAAATGGTGATCTATTCTTCAATTGTTCGGCGAATACAGTACTAATTGCCATGATATAAAGCTGAATACAAAGGTTTAAATGCAAATAGATCCGACGCACGTCTGGAATCTGATACTGTAATTACGTTTTATTTAGGGTATGAATTTTCAAGGAGAAACGTAACTTACAGCCGCGTCACTTCGGAATTATTTAGAGCCCTTAATTTCCCATCGGAATGGCTAGACCGGCGATGTCGAACTTGAGTGTGCGTATTAATAATATAGCTACCCTCATCCTGTCGATTGTGCTTTTCCATTTGAATAATCGGTATGCACCGTGGGGCTGGTCCGTCCAGGCACTCGCAGCTTAAACTGGCGTCTAATTCGCTTTGATACGGCGGTGGTATCAGTAAACTTTCGGTAGACTTAGTCGGTTGAAAATGTCTGCTCGAACTTCCAGAATAAGTGGTACTACTGCTCGTTCTTCTCTGAACGGTACCGGTCGGTGTTTTGGCACGACCGTGTGCACCTTTGCCGGGCCTCTCGGCGCTGTGGGTTTTTATGGTAGCCGTGTCTAAATAACCGTATCCGAAGCCATAGCCTCCGAACGCCTTTGTAGTCAGATTGTCCCAGGACTTTGGCTTGGCGTACTGAAGGCACGGTGGTGGTCGTTGATGCACACTTGGATCCCAATAAAGTGTGTCCGTACTTAGGCTGGTCGAGCAGGAAGCGACGCTATCGGCGGCAGTTGATACGTCGCTGCTGGTAATGGAATGCAAACTGTGTCCCGATGTGCGCGAGCAATTGTGCGTACCGTGTTGTTGTTGTTGTTGTTGTTGTTGTTGCTGTTGTTGCGATTGTTCTCGTTGCACATGATGATGCTGTACCTGTGATTGTTGCTGCTGTTGCTGTTGCTGTTGATGGTGATTCTGTTCGTTTCTAGCCCTCCTCTGTTTCTCTCTGCGTCTACGACTGGGTACACAATTCGGATCACAGCACGGACTGGCTAAATCGTACGCGTCTAAGCTACCGCTATCCGAGTGTTCTCTACGACGATTTGCGCTGGAGATGCAAGCAACGCATAGGCTGTTTTGCGGCGGGGGATGAAGAGGATTCGGATCACTGCTCGTATTCGACTGTTGCTGCTGTTGCTGACAAGATTTGTGCAATTTCGACTTGGCTGGCGTGCTGTTCATCCCGTTCGCTTGATGATAACTGTGCCGCGACGAGGTGGTCACCCCTGATTCGCTGGACATCTTCGACAAAAAATGATGATGGTCGCTTCGAGAACGAGGAGGTCCTATCGCTACTAAGCAGGCAGCGTTCCGAGGAACCAAGCACGGTCGTCCATCGGCAAACTGAAAACACGTGGATAATCGTGTTCAGTCGTATAACAAGCTTAACCTGAATCGGACGAAGCATCAAAGGGGTTCGAATATACCACGTTATAGAGCAACAGATGTTCCGTGGACGTAGCCGGTCTGCAACACTGAATCGTGGAAGAATTGAAACTGGACGACGGTGATGGTTGATTTGGATTGCTGGTAATTACACTGTTAGGCGTTCTTTTGCGTGCTGGCAGTGAATGGGTTTTCCATCGACCCATAAGAATAGACCGTTCCCTTTCGCAAAGTCTCTCCAATTCACTGAGCCGTGATTGGAGGGCACGTTGTAATTCGATATAACGCATATGCAATTCCACCTGAAAGAAAACGTCGTTCCGTCGCGTTCAATTAGGCTTCGACTACGCGGTTAACCGGTTGTCAATCGCGTTCGCAAAGGTTCCCCTCACCTTTCTTACGCAGTCTTCGAAAGACACGACCATTCGCATCCTAGTATCACAGTTCTTTATGAAATTGACTAACGTCTTATGATCGGCCCTGTCCATTTCGTGGCCGTTTATCGAAAGTATCACGTCACCCTCGCGCATACCGGCTTTGAACGCTGGCCCGTCGTATTCCACGTAGTCCACGTAGGTGACCATCTCGATTTCCTGCTCCCTTTTGTAATGTATTCCATAGCTCTGCGTAATTTTATATCAGACAAATTAATCGTACGATTCGAAATTAATTCGAGGCTTAATACAGTGGTGCAAAAAAAGAAAAGGTATAAGCACACGGATGGATCACTTTACCTGTAACGTGAAACCGTACGTGCCGTTCTTCTTTTCGACGATGATGGTACGCCGACGTCTGTCTTCATCCGCTCGTGTCACCCGCTCTGACTTTGACCTCTCCAGAACAGCCTACGGAAGAGTGCATTACTACAATATGCTCGGAACGAAAATGGGGCATAAATCTATGCTTTGGCAAAAGTAAAGAAATTTCAAAAGACTAATAGATAGAAATATAAGCAATCAAGCTATCAAGTATCTTGGATTTATCAAAGCGCGATAAATAAATAAAAGAAAACTCGTGTGATACAAATCTGTTTAGTGCAAACAACAACAACAACAACAACATTAACAACAACAATAACAATAAAAACTAAGAATCAGATAATAAGATTCAACACACGTTGTGCAATCCACAGAATTTCCTTGACCACGAAAAACAACTCGAAATGGGCAACAAGAAACTGCTCGAGGAAGGCTGTTTCAGCAAATAAAAATCATTCTTTCGATACACGAGTCGATGTAATAACATTACACATTCCACGACACCACTCCATTCCTCCTCGTCGCTGTTCTCAACGCCGGTCCGCTGTTGTTGCCCGGCCACCTCCGTATTCTGCGGCGAGTTGTTCATCGTTCCTTCCACCACCGAGAGGTATTATCCTCGCACAGAGGGCGACGATCTGTGGGCCGGTCGTCGATGGCGAACGAACAGAGATTGCTTTATTCCTTTTTTTATTTTATTTCGCGTCGCGCGCCGTGCTTAGCTTACAACGCTTTAAGATTCACGTTCTCTCTCATTGTGGTCAACATTTTCGGAGGCGACGAGCGAGCAGCCACAGCCAGCCAGCCAGCCAGGCCGCGAGGTTAACGTGCGTTTAGTGTATCGCGATCGTGTATGCTCACTTTTATTGTTATCTTCCTTTTCCCCTGGCCAGCAGCGTCCAATGCGCCTGCCCGACAATATCGGCTTACAACCCCGTCGTATTCGCGGTTGCCGAGGGTGCTAGAGGACAGAGCAAGCGCAGTCTCGTCCTCGATCCCTCTCCTCTTCCCACCACTCACCCCCTTCCGTCACCTTTTATCACCTATCTCTTCTTCTCCCTCCCCCGCACCGTGGCCCTGCTCTTTCCCACAGGACAGGAATAACTCATCGCGTGCAACGTCCTTACACTTCTGCACCGTCATTTCTTTCGGGGAACATGTCAATGAACAGACTTTAGTCCACCCTTGTCTGTTCGCTTTTCATCCCAATGAAATTTTTATCTTCTATCGGTTCAACCCCCCCCCGGTGGGTTATATGGTATTCTAAGGGCATTTAATCAAATTTGCTTTGTAACGTTTGAAAATGAATTTTGAATGCGAATTTTCAGACGAATAGAGGCTTCTAATGGCGCATCGTTTCTCGCTGCAAGACCGTTTCCATTTCGGTAGTTCGGTGAATGCACTTCGAACGACCAGAATAACGTGTCACGACGACGACCTCGCCGTCGCCGTGGACCGATATATATTTTTACAAAGAGTTTCAACAAAACAGAAACACGCGAAATGTCTAAAGAAATACGAGGGAGAAATAAGAACGGTGACGTACAGAGATACAACTACTCTGCATATGTATCCTATTTCTTTTTCCTCTTCGTTGTACCGGCCTGTTTGTGAACTTTCTGCACGTCGCTTTTCTTTTCGGGTGGCGGGGGTGGTGGTAGCGGTGGAGGTTTGGGTCTTGGGACAGGAACGTGTCTATGCAAATTAATTATTATTGCTTTGGATTGATGAAAAATTTTTAAAAATTGTTGCATCCAATTCGATATTGAACAACAATTCAAAGTCTCATAAAATCATAGATAAGTTCAGTGCTCATATCTTTGACCTGTGAACTGTTGAAATGCGTCTTTGAAATTTATTCAATATCTTACTTAAAAGCCATATGGATTTCTTGAATCGATCTATCCCGAACCACGTTGATCCAGATGTTCGATTGAGTCCTCGGTTTCAGACACAATCCGTCGCTCTTGCAGCACTCGGCTTTATTGCGTTCCTCTTCGGCTTCGAATTCCTTTTCCCAACATTCCTCCCATTTACGTAAACGTTCCTTCTCTTCCGCGTTACGTTTCGCCGCTTTTTCCTCTCGTTCCTTTCGCCTTTTCTCTTTATTTCCACCAGATTTCCTCTTCCTTTTGCCTTTTTTCTGCCCGGCGTGTTGCACCGTCCTAGGCTCCTCCGCGTTCACGTCCATTCTCTCCCAACACGGCTGTTTAATTACATCTTCCGGTCGCTTTAATTGCGGGAAAGTCTCGTTTTCAACTACGGTTAACGCTCTTCCCGCATTGTTATTCGGATCGAATATCGCGTAAAGCAGCATCGCCTGCCACTCGAGAACTACCAGCACGTTCCCAGCGAGGATATTAATCAGTATATCAAACGGATAAGTCGTCTGGAATTGGCAATGTACAGGGGGTTAGATTTCTAATGAAACAGTAATAATACTAATACCAATAGTAATTATCATAGAATTTTCGTGCAAATTGCACAGAATTACCGAGTAGAGATCCAAGATGCTTGAATTCGATTTGTAAGTTTCTATCGTGCTTGCCATATTCACCAAAAATTTGCTTCAACGTTAGTCGAAAAAGAAAAAGAAAATAAGAAATTTATGGTTAATTATCGAAACAAAATTCGACGTCCATTTGGCGATTATTTCAGAGCACTCCACTAATTACTTTCTATGAAAAAGTGTTTATTTTTCAAGTGGAAAGATTCTCTTCACTTTCCACAGTTACAACTGTAATCCTTCACAGGACATCCACACTTTTTCGTGGGCGTTTCTTTACTCGTTAAATCACTGAACCCTTTGTAGCCTTTTGAGCCGGATGAAGAGGCACCGCAACAGGGTGGACAAGGATCCTTTTGAACCGGTTGTGCCGAACCGCAACAAGGTTTACATTTTCCATCAGCAGGTTGCTGATGAACAGCGCTACATCCACCGAATTTTACCGTTGGATCGGTATCTTGATATTTTTGGGGTGATTTGGAGGAGCATGGACAACCCCCACCTTGTCCCCTAAGAATACATGTACAAAAATTATTCCAACGAAAAGATTCGATTATTCCGAAAAGAAATACCCGGGGGGGGATTGTCGAGAGGCGCAACAGGGTCGTGGTCCCCAGTCAGGTTGTTTGTCAGGTAGAGGAGGGCAGGGTGACGCGACGACCAGTGGGGTTTGGCAGCAAGTTCTTCCAGCTGATTCGCCACTTCCGTCGATGCATTTCTTCGTGCAGGTGCACTTCACTGGGGCAGGTGTGTCGCAAGAAGAAGGTATCTTCTTGCATTGAAAAACGGGGCTGTCGTCGGCGCCTTTGAATAGATACGGTTTCCTGTTGTGGGGCACTTGGAATTGGGTGATGATTTTATTGCCGAAGCAGGACACCCTTATGTAAACGGTGACAGCCCCGACGCACTGTCCCGTTGCGGTGGTGATCTTGAAAGTGTCCTTGATCGTCTGGCATGGATTCGCGATCTTGAATACCTTCTGGCTCAGTACCGCGTTTATCAAAGCCTTCGCCTCGATCTGGTGACAACCGACCAGCATCACGTCCGGTAGTACTCCAGGTGGTAGCTTCTTGTAGACGGATAACTTGACCGGGAACGAGGTTACTGGCCTCTGTAGCACGATCGATGGCAACGCGAACAAACAGGATTTCCCTTTCTTAAAGATCTGCGTGTCGCCGTCCTCGCAACCGCAACCGTCGGTCAAAGATTCCTGGCAAATGTTGACGGGTGGCAAACCGAGGATCTGGAATTCGCGGTATTAGCAGAGGTGCCAGGAATGAAATGTAAGTGTAATTACTTGGAAAGAGACACAGGTACACGCTGGCAACAACTCGTCTTGCATCGCCCTTATCACTGGAATCTTAACCTTCTCGACTAAAAATTCGACTAAGAAAAGCTGTTGTTCTTCACCCATTTTTGTCGGATAAAATTTCACTAGATTTGGAAGATTCTTTTCATGATCGGTTTCTAAGTATCCTTCATAAAGAATACGGAGGATATTTATATATTAACCATCGATTTAGAGACTGATTAACCAACAATTTAAAAAAATTCAAAAGTCAAAAGTAAACTAGAGGGCACTGTCAAAATACGCACAATCATAAAAATTTGTTTTATATTCCAAACATAAGCTGTTATCAAATTATTTTTATTCAATAAAGCAGTTGCAAAATAGAACATAAATTTCAATGAGAATCATTCGAAGAACCCGATCAGTTCTTCTTTTTCTTCTTCTTCTTCTTTCCCTTGCTTTCGTCGGTCTGCATTTCCCGGGTCTCGTACCTGATGGGCGGTCCCCTTTCGGGTCCCTTGGGCGTTTTCATTTCCAATTGTATGTCTGACTTTTCACCAGCTCCGACGATGCCTTTCTTCCCGATCCTCAGCACGAAGATGTCATGGTCAGGGTCGACGGAGTGAGGATCGGTGGCCTCGCATTCAGGCGCCACGGTGACCGTGGGCTTCTTATCTTTACCGGTGTCCAAAATGCCGGACACCTTCAGAACGACCGCCTTTCCGCACGGTTGAGCCGGCCCGCGGCTCGATTGGATCAAACCGGCCTGTTTGCAGTCCGCCTTCGATCGCGTTCCCGAGACCGGCCTCGAGCGCGGTTCCGATTCGAATTGTCTGCTGGGGCTGACGTTCGGCTTCAGCGTCGCTCCGCAAGGATCACCGCACGGGGTGCAAGGATGCTGCTCCTTCACGCAGACGCGGCAAGGAGGACCACCGGCGTAGAGCTCGTCCTTCGAATCTCTGCAAACATCGGCGATCTGCGAGTCGACGATCCGGCATTTGTAAACCGGCGACTTCCGGTCGGACGCGTCCCCTTTGAAGACGTACGAGGAGACGGTACGTTCGGGAGGCGCGTCGAACTCGGTCACGATCGTCTGACCGAAAGCGGAGATCCTTACGAACATACACGCGGCCCCGATCTCCTCCTCGTTGTACATCAAGGGTACCTCGCCCTCGAACACCCTCGGCGGTGGCACCATTTTGTGCCAACATTGAAGCATCTCCTTCCTAAGCGCGGCGAAGTGCTTCGACATGTCCAATTCACCTTTGCCGACCAACACGTCCGGTTTCACTCCTTCCGGCATCGATTTCCGTACACAGAGATCGATCACCAACTCCAGCATCTTATTGACAACCGTGTATTGATCGATCGCGAATAAGACGGATCGTCCCGAATAAAAATACTCGACGTCGTCGGCGACTCCTGCTTGAGGCTGGAACATCGGGTCGACCGGGGTGATTTCGATGCCATCTTCGTTCTTGAAATTCAGAAATTCCACGGAGATCGTGGTCGGCACGAAGAACATTTGATTCAGCTTCGCTAAACGTTCGCTGGTCAACTGGTGGATGAAGAATTCGAGGAGGAAGAGGTAATGTTCCTTCGCTTCCGGTACAGCCTGGTCGCGGCTTCCAAGAGTTAGTGACGAATCCTTCTTAATTTTATCGTCTTTCAGAGATTTCTTCTTCGAACGATGTCCACGATCCATTAATGATAATTATTATTGAACATTTTTCGTTTAAAGAGCGACTGACAATTTTTCAGACCAGGTTACGAAAGAGCATTTCCGTGAAGTTAGCAATACCGCGAAGAAGTCTCGATCGTTCGTAATAATTTGGTACGTCCTTGGAAAATCGTTTTCGATTTCCACCTCGTTATTTATCCGTACTATTCGATCGTGTCATAATTAAAGGCGTTCCCTGATGACATTTTGAATTTCGAACGCGATAAGCGACCGTGATGTCACGTTTATCGCTTATCAACAGGATACCGATAGGTATCTTCTATTTGCAATAACAAACCACAGTTTCCATTGAACATGGCTGAGTTATCGTTTCGATAATTCGATACTTTTATAAAGGTTAGGCTACGACGAATAAAAAATTACAAATAAAATAGTCAATATTGCAAATATTTCTACGGAAAAATGTTTATGGTAAGCATTTCGTACGCGCACAGGGATAGAATAATTTTCTAATGCGATTCATCAGTTTCCAGAACCACCTCCACTCGATTATTATATAACCGATATCTCGTCGTCTTATTCGGCGGACGGCATATTTTATCACGGACGAGCAGCTGCCGGTCATAAACATATTGCCAAGCAACTAAAACCGATCAAAAGAACTTTACGTAAGTTATCGGTTCGGATAATCCTTATCTTGATTAAACATAGACGATAACAATTTTTTCCCCCTCGAGTTTCAACGTTGTATCTTTTAACACTTTTGCTGTCGAAACGTTCAAAATTGTCGGTTCAATTATAATTTATATGAGAATTCTGAAAGATTGGTAGAAACGATAATTGAAGAGAAATCAGGATCTTCAATTAATGTGGAAACCAAGAACGGGCATAATTGATTTGGAAGTAGGCGATAATGAAACTGCACACGCGATGCTTCGAGATATATCCGTCTCGTATCATTGAATCGAACTGTCTCGGTTAATGGCATTTAAGACGATGTCGCAATTGAGTTAAGCCGATCGAATTAGATGAATGTTCGTGTAATAATTGTTGCAGGCGACCCGATAGCGCCGCCGCAGGAATTAGATTCGCGTACTTTAAGCCGGATTCTTCAGAAGGAGAAGGGAGGATACGTGAATCCTTGCGGCAAGGATGATGGAATGGTTTACGATATTCTTAAATGGATGCCCAAATGGAAACGGAAGGGAAGAGAAAAATGTATGTTTTAAGGTCAGTCGTGACCCAGACCTTGGTATTTTTTAAATAAATTAATTATCACTGTAAGTAATAGATTTCTTTTAATAACAATTAGAATGTCGAGGTCAGAGGTGATTTATCTGGTCTTGTACAGACAGAACGGTCCTCTGTAGTTAAGAACCGTCTGGAATATTAATTGTTCCCCATTTAAAGTAATGAAGGAATACATCGCGGGCTGGCAATTTCGACCAATCGAGTATCGGTCTTATAAATAACGGAACGTCCGAGAAGCAATCTATGATGAAACGAATTGTTCACGACGCTAATTTGCTAATGAGTCGCGAGTGATTTGCAATTCAATTTCAACGTTAGAAAAATTAGTCTGATTGCTAATCGTCGATCCGTCAGCCAACGACGTCGATGAACTCTTTCCTTTCATCGCGAGTCGATGACACTTTAAATAATCGAACAAATTTTATTCAGTTTCCTTCTCCACGTTTCCACGATCGCAGCAGTACGAATTATCCCACATCCGCGAGACACAATCGAAAAAATCAGGAAAATGTAAAACGACGGAGACAAAACGCGAGGAAAAAGAGGAAGAAGAAATCAAGTAAGGATTCTATTTATCTTCGGTATGTAATTCGATGAAACGGCGAGGTACTTTTAATAGAACGGACAAGGAACCGTGCGATTTCTTGGAACCTCCGATTTGGTGGAAAGGCGAAACCGGGAAACCAAGAGCTCTTCCGGTGGGGAATATAGACGATTATACGTTTGAACGAGCAGCGGATCGAGATCACGCCGATATGAAAATCAGCGAGAAACTTCACATGGATCATCCGAAGAAATACATACCCGGTGTCATTCATCGGATAAAGGTATAATTGTGAATATGCCGGTATTCCTGGGATACCTGAAACGGTGAATAGGGCCCTACTCTTCAGAGGGGTGATGGCAGTGGCGGCTCGTAGCTAAAATTAGTAGGGGTGCTGTTCCAGAAAATGTGTAGTCTTTGTTTTAAAAAACCAGCACTGCGGTAGCGACATTGCTCTCTCTCCTGCGCAGCCTCGCGCGCAGCTTCCTATGTGCGCATGCGCACGCAGTCACACCACGTCGCTGAAGCTGTGAAGCGCACAGTTCCATACAAAGATTTTTGTATCTTTTTCATAAATTGCGGGATGGTTACTGACATTGAGCTTAAGGATTATACATATATTGTACAAGTATAAAGAAAGAATTAAAGAAAAGAGGACTTATTAAATTAAATAGGGGGTGCTGCAGTTCTACAGTGCCTATACGCGAGCCGCCATTGGGTGGTGGTAGTCCCATACTGCCTGGGCCCCCTTAGCCGAATAGGCGACTGGGGATCACCTTTTCCGTACGTAAACGTATTTCCCCTCCGGCAAACAAAAAAAAGGTCCAATTGTGAATCACAAAGTACCAAAAATGACGACTTTGAATTCCTTACGCGAGGACAGTTTAAACGATTTGTCCGTCACATTGCAGCGTGAGAACGCTGTAAAATTAAATATCCGGAATGTTACACGAGCGAGGATCCTCGAAGCTTACACGTCACCCGTCACAAGATGTAATTGTCGAGTATACGCGAACTTTGTTTGCACGCGTTATTTCACGAATGAAAAATCACTCAGGCTGTGCGAAATAGACCAAGGTCGACACCTTTGGTATCGTCTAAATGAGCGTTCGTTTGTTTAGCTGTACGATTAAGTCTTTAACACGTTGACTGCCAACTACGAGACAACTCGTAGTTTGCGTTATTGCCTAGGACGCCAACTACGAGTCATCCCGTACTTTGTGCACGAATTGACTCGTAACTGGCCAACTACGAGTCAATTCGTGCACAAAGTACGGGATAACTCGTAGTTGGCGTCCTAGGCAATAACGCAAACTACGAGTTGTCTCGTAGTTGGCAGTCAACGTGTTAAGAAAAGTACTTCCGTAAGATAGCAATTGAACTGAAAAAAAAATGAAGCGATCGTGTCTTGAATAATAACGTGATAACTCGATTATTAAAATTTTTAGCGCACGATATTGGTCTCGATTAAAAATGAGAACGGTATTTGTATTTGAACAGAATCCAGAAGATACTAGTATGAAGGATGTCCTCGAGCAAGCAGATGCTTTCAAACATGTGCTGAGAAATGTTGAAAGCCTGCCAAAAGATAGTCCACCTGTTGACAGATGTATCTGCCCTCCTCAGAAACGTCGTAGGTGTCGTCTTCTATGAAATATTCTCACCTACGCTTTAGAAAACTTCTTCCCTCTTACGCGGACAAATTTGTAATTCTAATTCGAACCCGTTGCAGTTCGCGATTCAAAGTTGGATAAAGATTTGTTAATAATTCATACAACGCCTTGTGATAACGATCACCGATGGCAACCCGTCTACGAGAGCACAAGTATTTTTACGACCGATGCAGAACGACAAAAGGAACTGCGAAAATTAACCCGACCTTTCTTGCACGACTTACATATCTGGTATTCGAGGAATAAACCAACGAAAGTGAGGAATTAAAATTCTTTAGCCGAGCAAAGCTTCTGGATCAGCTACCGTAATCGGCTACGTTCAAATTGCACGCAAGTAGGCTAAAAACATACACGCATTAGGCTAAAAGGAAATATTATCATGACCGATAGCAAATCAGTAATAAGACAGTTACGAAACGCGTGGCACAGCTGTGACAGAAAAGCTGCTTCGACGAATCTTAGACGTGTATGTTATTCAATTAACATCGCTAACCTTTGTTGAACCTCTGTTTTGTTTCGTATTTCAATCGAGCGAAATGGATATTCAATTTACACGCCACTCCGTAAACGAGTAGTTTTTATTTCGTAAAATTAATTCGTCGCGTAGTCCTACGATTAAATTACGTCTACACCCTACGATGCGATTACGTTTCTTTTCTGCATGATGCTTGCGAATTCCAGAAAACGACGCAGCCATTATGTCAGCAAGAATAATGTTACGGTTTCACGGAGATCTAGTTCAAAATTTGCATGTTTTCGTAGCTATTTCATGTTGAAATAAACAATTTTGTCTCACACGTGGTATTTCCCGCGCATTCCGTTTAACTAGTTAACCTCTTTTCGATAATAATCGAAGAATCGACTCAACGCTCGATCATGCGCATACGTTTGCACGAAAAATTATAATTTTTCGTTCATTCATTGATCGATGTAATGTCACATTGCGTGTTTCATGCCATTTATCGTAACGTTTACAAAAGATAGTATCAGATATTACGTAACACGTTTATAATTCTAATCGCGCTTAACAGTAATCTGATACCGTTTATAGACCGAGTAATGAAAGAAAATGTGAACATAAATCTTGTTCAATTTTATCGCCATAATATTGACATACGAAATTTTAAGCAAAATTTAATGTGCTGTACATCGGTAACGGTTTAAATTTTCATCGATTATCGACGTAGATGTTTGACATTTTAATCGTTTAAATCACACGGTCATTTGACGGTGACACGCCAGTCAGAATTTCATCATATGGTTTTTAACCACGTGCTTGTCTAACCAGCTTAATATCAAAACCGCGCCTTTACAGTGGATATCGTTTTATTCAGTACATCAAAACAAGCAACAAACTCTACTAACCAATTCATCAAACCATAGTAAATTTGTTGAACAAGTGAATAAACGAACCTTTATGAAGAACGGAAATATTAAGCATCGCTCTTCCAAACATCTTGATCTCGTATTTTCTCCTCGATAACCTTGTAGTTCGGTAATGAAAATAAAACTGATTGGTTAGTCACATGATCACGGTGGCCATAGATCAGGGGGTAATAATTTTAAAACAGCGGAAAATACTGTGGCAGAATTCGATTGCGATGGGGGAAGGAGGAGGATGTTCGACCTCTGGCGGTTGGTCGACGAAACGCGTAGGACGCTCTTCCGGGGACTAAAGTTTTCAGTTTATTCTTGCACGGCGTGCGTCTCTAACGGCAGTCTCTTTCGGGCGGTCGATGTTCGCGGCGGTATACGCCGGTACGTGTAGTAAGAAGCCATTGGATGCATCGTGAATTTTGTTGTGTTGAATTTACGCTGCAATTAATTTATTAAACATCGTTACTGTGCGTACCGGCGTTTGCCTGAAATGAAGTAACATCAAACGGCAGGATTCAACCGTACGCACCACGTTTTCTTTCCTACACCGTATAAAACATAAGCAACCTTCTGCGAACAGGTATGTGGATCTTTAATTTACGTTATTAGATGTTCACTCCTCCTTGCGCTGTTTAAAAAGGTCCGTGCACTCGATTTAAATTACAAAATAGCTGAGAATGTAACGATCAAAGTTTTCTATGCAATCGATCGATATTCGAATTATATTCTTGCATTAAAATGTATCATCGATCTTGATCGATGAAGATCGATTCAAATTTCAATAGTTTACACGTTCAAACTGACTAGGGAAAATCGCAGATCCTTATTTACCGATTTGTATGAAACTTTTTGGGTTTGTAGAGTAAGCCAAGACAAAAATAAAGATACGCTCTATTTGTGCCCTATCGTCCTTGAAGGGTGTGAAATCTAACCTCAAATCGAATAGGCACCTTTTTCGCGTGTAATCGTTAAAATTCAAAGAATAGAAAAAATTTTCGAATAAAGATGTAATGATGCAATAAGCGTTATAGACTTGCATAAACGAAATCTCGAAGAGTTTGTTTCATAAAAAAAAGAAACATTTTAAGCGACGAAGAGTAAAGTTTAAATACTACGTCGAATACAACGGTATATCTTTTTCTCGGCGTGACCTCAAGACGCCACGTCGATCTAAATATCGACATTTACAATTTTATCAATCCTCTTCGTCTTCTTGACGGATTTCAACTGAAAGCATGCGTTTTAGGAAACTTTGTTCACTCACGCGTTTAGTCACAGCTGCGTTCAAGCATTGTTCGCCATCAAAAAGTCGTGTGGTACATGTAAAATTCAAGAAAGAGAAAACATTACAATAGCACGGAATACCATTTCTCATGACTGTATATCTTGTCCTTCAGTAATCTGCCCCGGCGAATTTAGCGCTTAGCATTATCAATTTGATGAACCGTAAAAGTTATTTTAGTTAAAAAAACATTTATACAGTGTATCGGAAAAATTTAAACGCAAACAAGAGCTGAATGTTGGTCATTAGAGAAATGAATGATCCATCTGGTACTTAATTTTATCTTAAATTATAAAAATTCTTTAAAGTATAAAAATTCCCAACGTTTCCTGAAATAGAATGTTAATGAAATACGAGGAAAAATGTAGTGCATCTGGAAATTCTTGTCGTAGAAAGAAGACTGCAAGTTCTTGAACGTGTTTCGTCAGTAGAATCGTGCCGCCACGAGCACGTGGTGTACTAAGTTTGTGGTAGACGCGACTTGTATGGCTCGCGATGGCAGTTCCATCGTACGGTAGCTTTGTATGATGTAACCTCGCGTCGATATTTCGGACATGCGCGTTGAAACTACGATATAACTATATAGATGAATTCGTTCGTTGCACCTTCGCGTCATAGAAATCGATTTTTCCCGTGTAAATTAAGTCACGCTTTTCTTATCGGTCATCACGTTTTATTCTTATATATGTACATACCTCGGGAACAAATGTGACACAGCGGTTCGTGTCATGGTTATTAACGGACCTGGCGTTATACGACGTGTCTGGGATGATAGAAAAAACAATATTTTTTTGTTATCACTTTACTGTTGATAGAGATAATAAATAACTGCCTGTTTATTGCATCATATTGGCGTAATAGATGGACTGTTATATTCGATATTTAAAAAAAAAGAAATAGCAAGTGTGAAAAATAAAATTTTGATCTTTAAAAGGATTAAGGATCAAAGGATTAAAGCATACACTTTATGTAAATTATAATAGTACTCTTGAACTCGCGGGAAAACCGGTTGAATATGAAATAACTCAAGAACCTTTATGAGCTGTATATGAATAATTTCATTGACCTTGTAATTACTGTAATCTTATCGCATATAACGAGATTTGCTTTCCGTTACATATTGATGTGATAACGAGATTTATGTGTTCAAAATATTTTATCAATCATTCACTTAATATATGTATCAATTTATTTCTGACAAACAGTTTCTTGTTAGAAAGTTACTGAATTCCTTTTTTACAAAAACTTGATCCCGGTACACGAAACGGCCGTATAAACGAACTTTGGCACTCAGCCTTGACAACGAACTAGAAAACTCAGTTTCAAGGTGACCCACATTTCAGTTTCTATGCAGGTAACTATATCATTGTGACACGTGCACTTTTATTAACAATTTACCACGTGCGACGGAAACACTGTAAAAAAAGGATGATCGTGAAACAGAAACGTTTCTGATATTATATTACTAATCGTTTCGTTGAGGCGTGATGAAAAGCAGAGATATTGTGAACGGGGATTTCCAGGAAATTTCTAACAGGCCGAGCAAGGGATTGTAACGTTTCTTTAGGGAATTTTTCAAAAATTCCAGGTATAAATCCGTAAATAAAGACAGTTCTTCGAGTTTTGAACTTTCAAATGGAATTTTATTATCTCGGGTCATTGGGCACAAGATGGGCAAGGTAGCCATAAATCTTTGGAAACGCCTCTTCTTCCGGAGCCTACGCACGCGTCACGTGATGCTGCATTCGCGCCATTTTCTTTCTCGTACCGAAATCCTTTTCTGTTTTCTAAAGCTATAGTTTGGACCAGTATATTTGTAATCTCCTGAGTCATTTTCTGAAAAATACTGCGCAACACTTTCTGTTAGAACGTTTAAAATCACATTCGTAATCAATTAATCCAATATTACATTAAATTAATTCATTTTATGTTCACATTGTTTTTTCTGCTCTGGAACGTTTGTAAGAGATACAGTTAGCATGCATATTCATCGACTTCAGATAATGTATGTTTACTTCCTTTTCTGTTATTTTGCGTGGCAGACAATTGCTTACTTATAGGTTAAAAATGGAAATTTTTTATAACGCATCTTTGCGAACGTCAAATAGCGACGCATTTTTCTTAAACAAAATATTGCTTAGTCATGATTCCATCGAAGGAATAGGTGACGTAAAATATGGTGTAAACGATGATTACTTGCACATTATGCTTACTGGGAAAGATAGTTTGAGGTTATTTTAGAATCGAGGATTCTAAACTGAGCCTGAAACGCCATTGGTCGTTCCTCCTCCCATACTTTTCATCTACAAGACGCCATATCTTGCGCCGGATATAAATTATTAAATTATTTAAACAGCATCTATATTTGGCACGAAACATTACTCATGCTTGTTGCACCCGATAGTCACATCTGTGACTTATCTACTGATATGAAAGTAGAATTATAGAAAAGAATCTGAAGATGAAAAAGCAAATCATGCAATATAACGAAATCACCTTGTCATGTTTCGATATAAAGTTTTATAAGTGTAAGTATAGCAGCTTAAGGTCTGCTTCTCCTTTATACAGATAATTGAAAAGATTTCGTGCCTCTGATTAATTCAATCAACCTTTGTCAACTGCTACTTAATTTACAATTGGTTGGAAGCGAACAGTAGTACAATGGAGAATTTGATACACCAAGAAGCTAATTTATTTTGAGCCTCGGTTAATCATCCTCTCGTAAAGATTTTTTTTAACTAAGCTGATAAACGTGGGTCAACAAAAACGCTGTAAGCTTTATTGGGAAGGAATTAAGGAATTACCGCACCAATTAGTATTCTAACAAAGTTTTGGATGCCTTGTGGTTTCAGAAATTGGCTAACCGCCAGTAAATTTATCTTCTTATTTATAAACAGAACCGGACGAAGTCCTTTGTTATTTTCCATTCTTTGTAATTCCTACCTTACCCATCGAGCATACTTGATTATATTTTTCTTCCCTTTTAAAAATTAGTCAGCGATTCGGTAATAATTAACTAAAATTGACCGCAATAAATGAAAGGTTAACTCTGAAAGTTGAACGACCTAATTTTCCACATAACACTCGCTCTGGTAATTGTCGTTTCAACGAGGATAGATTAAAGATTAATTAATTCCAATGCGAAATTGCTAGGATCGTCGGTGCAATTACTATCTAGGATAGTTTAATCTGATTTCACTTCGCTCCTACTTTATTCGAAAATCGAAAAAGGAACTTCACTAAAATTAGAGCTACAAGTTCTCAAATGTATGCAAACATCATGATTGAGTAATGATTGTTTCACTTGTACGTCATGTGTGCACTTTTTACTCGGCTATTTGGTGTGACACGTGGACGGCAACAAATTACAGGTAACAAGTACAGGCTTCGATCGGCGGAATAGTAATTAGACTTTGCTGTACGTTTGATATCTGAATTTGTAACGAGCATGCCCTTTAAATATCATGGAAATCAAACTGTATTGTCAAAACCTAATTGCGCACGAATCAAGTCCGCTCGCATGGAAACATTTAATTATACATTCCAGTTGGGCGACTTTAACCTTTCGAATATTTTTCATCCGTAAAAAATGGCGATTTTGTAACCGAATTACTTTCTAGAAATTTTTCTAGAAATGCAATCATTTTAAAGGGCGCGGTCCTCCGCTTCCACAAAATGGCCCCCAAACCAAAACAATTGCCCACCCCTGGTTTACAGTAAAATATTCACGAGTATGAAAAAAAATTTGTTCCTAATTATGTAAGGAAAACCTGAAAATAAATAAGATTACGCGAAACTTACTTTGTAAGTTTAGCTACTAGCGTTCGGTATTTTTACTTGAACCGCCGTTGAAACGTGCAATTTATGATCAGCTGATTACGAGTAATTATAAGTTGAAAAATTTTTCTTCCTTTCATTCAGAAATATTATCGGAAAATAAGACGCGTTCAAATGCCGAGCGGTATCGTTACTTTTAAAGTACGACCAAAAAATTGTTTGATACAGTGGCACTCTTTGTTCAAGCACCGCATAAAGTGTATTTAAATATAATAATAGCAAGAGCGAACAAAGGGTCTTTGATCGGTGATAGTGGAAATCAACAGCGATCGCATAAATATTGTAGACAAAGTATCGTATAATTTAGGTTAATGAAAAAATAATTGGCTGCTTAATTTGAAGCGTTTAGAAATTCATATTTCCTCGGATACTTCTAGCGCTGTTGCACGAACAACCTAGATTTCGATCCAAATTCCACTATTTCTTAATTTACATTTGCAGACTTATAGCATTGCTTCTAAACTCGTCTTATATCTCAGATGATTTCTCGCGTCACTTTTGACAATTAAATGTCCAAGATAATTGTACTCATTTTTTCACATACTTAATTTATTCGTTTAACTGTCTCTCTTACGGTTCTTTGAGCAATCATTTACGTCATTAATTATTACGTACTTAGAAGCTTCGGTCATAGGGAATAATCTACTATTTAATTGTTTGGTCTACTTCTTTTTTTCTCCTTCCACAAAATGCACAGTACGCGTGAATGCAGTTTCAAAGGTTGAAATACTGCAACCTCTGTAAATGTTTAGATCGGCGATAACAGAAAATTACGTAATTAAACACGTTATCAAAGACGATAACCTCTAGACGAGCTAGAATCTCTTTATCTACGAATTATATTGAAAGCACTTTGAATTCAAAATCAAGGTGAGGGTTCCCCGGCGAAAATGAACAGTACTTTCGCCATAAGGCTCGATCCGCGATATCGAAATGATTATTTAACAGAGCTTCGATTAACATTTCTCTGTTCGTCTTAATTGTTCTACGCATCGGGATATCGAACGCCCACACTTGTTGCATTTCCGTATACGTCATTCAAATGCATGTAGAACCGCAACATTACAAGGTCGGAGCTAAAGGCTGTCTTTCCGAGATGATACTTTACATAAGGATGCTCAAGAGATATCGTAATTCCATGTAATACTACGTCACGTTATAGTGACTAATTTAACATTTTGACTGCCACGGTAAAACCATTGAAAATTCCATTAAGTATTTTCGATAATTTCTTGTTGCACTCAGACATAACAATTTCTCCTATGGTTTCGATTTAGTGCTAAAAATAATAATTGCGTTGTTATTATTATCGCTTTACGTTATAAATTATTTTTTTACTTTTATCTTCAAAAATCTTATATATATTATCTTTAAAATATTTCATTATATTTTTATCCACAATTTCAAGTATCTGATATAAGTATTTCCAATTAAATCAAAGAATTCTTAATAACACGAGTGATTGATTCCTATTGAAATTCAAGCGTCACCCATATATGGATGACGGGGTGCTCAGTGTTAAAACGAGACTCCCTATTTCAATTTTATTTTATTTTTTTTTTAATTCTAAATTGAAATACTTTACACGACCAAAGTGGCATGTATATTTCATCAGTCTATTCTCGGAAATCCTCGTTTGAAATTCAATTCTGAAACGAGAGACAATGCTTGATTACAATTATTTAGCGCCCGATTAGGCGCGATTGATATTGAATTTAAATTCGAGACAGACGAATTTGGAAGTTGGAGTTGTACGATAGAACAGAAATTGTTGCTATACGTTTGCAATTTATTTATAAATTTCGCCAATCGTTTCACACTGATATTAACACAGTTTAATTATAACAATACTTTTAGAACGATAGGGCTTCGATTAGCATCACCAATTAAGCTGATAAGTCGATAATATCTTGTTACACTCACAGACAAAACAATTTCTCCTATGGTTTCGATTTAGTGATAAAAATGATAATTACGTTATTATTATCGCTTTTTCTTTTTAATTACAGATAATATAATTTAGAAAGGCTAGAAGACAGACGGCATCCAAACGGTACGTAACAAATATTTGAATATTTAAATCTCCAATTATGCGGAATATTTATTATATAAAATTTACTTTTTAGGATAACAGAATGCCTACGGAGATGCACACCTTTTTACCCCAAGACGGATCCAACCCTAAAGACGGTGTACTAACCAAGTAAAATTAACTTTTTTTTCATTTTGAACATTAATGATTCATTATTATCAATTAATTTGTGTAAACACGCACTTTGAACGTGGAAGTTTTTTATTAATAAAATTGATATTTATATGATCCGTTGCATGGGTTATCCAGCGGAAATTTATGTATGAAAGTCATGTTTGTCAGTTATCGATTCATAGAATTAATGTTTCATTTATAAAAATGAAATAAGTTCCTCTGGAAATTTTCATTATCACAACATTTGTTTTTAGAAGATTTAAGGTACTCGTTATCGTACAGACTTAATGATGAATAATCAAAGTTCGCTTACACCTATTATGTTCTCGTATATTCAACGATAATCGCATTACGTAAAATAATATTCAGTTCCATTTATGGTAATGTATTATGTTCGTTGCAGATACAAAGTGCAAGTCGCTCCACGAGACCCGGAGGCCGCACAGGGTGATGGAAAAACTTACGATCCCTTCACCGAACGAATAGTTGATAACCCGACGACGTAAGAGCAATTGCGATAGAAGAAATTCATAAAAATATTTAATATAATCGATACATTCAACCTTACTTGCCCCTCTCGCCTTAAATCGTTACACATTATTCGTGCTCTTAGGTCAGAGATAAAAGTAATAATAAAGTTGATATTCGTTGTGGGAATTCCTTGATTAAAGCTTCTTGATTTATATTCGTTGATTTTAGTTGTTGGAGCAAGTTGTAGCTTTTTTTTTATTTTCACACTTATTATTGTAAACAGTTTATTTGCTCGTGACGTTTATTACACGAAATGAAAAATAACTGTTCCTCGTTAAATTACGCAAACAGGTGATTATCTATTGAAACGTTGCCCTTGTATCGTTCCAGGGACTGCGACACATTAACGCATTTACTGAAAGCGTCGCTTGGTACAGGCATACTGTCTATGCCAATTGCATTCAAGAATGCCGGTCTCCTACTCGGTGTATTTTCCACTATCTTGGTAGCATTTGTATGCACACACTGCGCTTATATCTTGGTAAATAAACATTGAGACATTGAGTCTGACAATTAAAGGCTAAACAGAGATTTAATTGGTAAATTTATGATGCTCAGGTAAAATGTGCGCACGTCCTTTATTACAAAACAAAGCGTTCAGAAATGAGCTTCGCTGATGTAGCAGAAGCAGCGTTTGCCACCGGACCACAATGGGGAAGAAAGTTTGCAAGGCCAATTAGGTAAAACTTTTATTTCACTGGCTAACTATCGTTCTATGTAATCGTGATAACAACGTTATGATCTTTTTGTCAACAGGTATCTTATACAAATTAGTTTATTCGCAACATATTTTGGCACCTGCAGTGTGTACACGGTTATCGTTGCCGCGAACTTCAAGCAAATTATTCAATATTACAAGGATGAAGATTCGCCTGAATTCAGTTTACGGTTGATAGCCGCCTGTTTACTGATCCCGATGATACTGCTTAGTTATATACCGAATCTGAAGTATCTTGCACCTGTTTCTATGGTTGCCAATATATTCATGGGAACAGGTTTAGGAATAACGTTTTATTATTTAGTTTGGGATCTCCCTCCTATCAACTCTGTACCATTGTTTGCGTCTATCGAGGACTTCCCACGATTCTTTAGCATTACTATTTTTGCCATGGAAGCAATAGGTACTGTTTATCGGTCTTTGATCGTTTGAACATACTGTTAAAAAATTATTTGAAGAGCTCTATATCATTGGATATATCAAGGAAAATCGAAGCGAAAAGTTCTGTAGCATTTTTCGATGGGATCAGTAGTTTAGCCACATTTTCGTGGTTGAAAATTGAAAAATTGACCAATCAGCGTGCAGCTTGAGTGGCAAGACACGCGGAGTAGGTGTCTCCGTTTGGTCAATTTTTCAATTTTTAATAACGACTGATCTCATCGAAAAATAGTACAGAACTTTTGAGCTCTTTAGGTAATTTTTTAACACCCTGTATATAAAGAAATTGGGATTGAAAGAACAGTGTTTTACAGGTGTCGTAATGCCACTGGAGAATAACATGAAAACACCGCAACATTTTGTTGGAATCTGCGGTGTTCTCAACAAGGGAATGTCCGGGGTTACGCTTATATATATTTTACTCGGATTCTTAGGATACGTGAAATATCAAGATCTTACTTCGGACAGTATCACGTTGAATTTACCAACGGCAGAAATGTAGGAGTCACGATTAGTACAATAAATAAACGAAAGATCTATTTGTACTAATTATATCTCATGTTTTTTTTTTCATTTTCAGACCGGCCCAAGTTGTAAAGATTTTAATAGCACTTGCTGTTTACTGTACGTTTGGTCTGCAATTTTATGTGTGCCTTGATATTGCATGGAACGGTATTAAAGATCGGTTCCAGAAGAAACCATTGTTAGCTAATTACATTCTGAGAACAGTGATGGTCACAGGAGCAGGTATAAACATGATTCCGTTTATGAGTAATTTTATCATTGATATTAAGAAGAAAAAATAAATATGTTACTTTTGTGTTGCAGTTTTACTCGCCGTGATTGTACCAACTATCGAACCTTTCATCGGTTTGATCGGTGCATTCTGTTTTTCGATATTGGGACTTTTAATTCCCGTGTTCGTCGAAACGGTAACGTACTGGGACGTTGGTTTCGGGGCAGGAAATTGGGTAGCCTTGAAGAACATTATCATATGTATTATTGGCATGATGGCGTTGATATTTGGATCTCGTAGTGCATTGATACAAATCGTAGCACTATACAGTTAAAAGAAGCTGTTCTCGTCAATAAATAGATTTGTAGATATTCCAATGTTCCAAACTTCAAACGTTTGGATACCATTTTATAACGGATTTTAATGCAATAAATTTCGAATCTTTTATATTTTATGAAGACAATCATAAAAGTGAAGAAAGATTTATAAACGAGAAATACTAATGATAATTGATTTTAAGGATGAACACGAAATAGAAAATTTGAAAGTTTATATCACAGATTTAAATGTTTCTACGTGCTTACAAGAAGTAATTTTAATAAGATGAGAAAAGAAAGTATTTATTATACTAATGTTTCGATTGCTGTGCAAATGGGAACATCAAAATATTAATTCTTGTACGGACGATCAGAACCGAAGAGCCGATATTCGGTAAATGCTATAGTTTAAATTGTTTCTACGCACAAATAACTTGTACAATATAAAATAGCGTCAACGAAGGTTATATGAAAAAATTTAATTGTTGAAAAGTAGCTAATGAATTTTGAAGTATGTAACTAACGTTTTTATTTATAAAATTTTATTGAATTTACAAAAGATGGAGTCTAGGGGAAGTAAACAGTATTTAGACTGTGAACAATGTTTTATATTGGAACAATAAGTTACAAACAATGTTGATTCAAAATTTGAAAAAATATAAACGTGAAATTTTTTATTATTCAACACAGAGTATAACCTTCCATTTTTTTTCTAAACCTGAAAACAGTTTGTTAATTTATAGTAAATATAAAATATTGTTGTAATATTTGAAACATGTATATTAAATTTTTAAGGAAAGTTTTAGATATACGAATGTGCATGTAAAATAAGTTCCTGTTACATATTCTGTGCATATAACAGATACACAATATATGAAATGTTTCACTCTTGTGTTGCATTTAATGTGAATACATATTTAAAAAACAAAAAAAAAAAAACATTTTTTTTTCCAAAGCAATGTTTGTTCACCAAACTTGTAATCAATTTTTTATACACTTGTTGGGAATATTTACATATTCATGATTAAAACGAATACAAGATGAATTTTATTGTAACTTTAAAATACAAATCATTTTATAATATGTTCTTACATTTTATTACTCCAAACTTTATGTACACATTAAGGAATAATACTTTTATGTAAATACACTTCTATACACTTGTTAGTATTAAGAGTACAAAATATTATAGCAACATTTTATTTTAACAATTTCTATAATCATTATACAATGTTACTCAAAACGAGGTTTGAAAATAAAAATGCAACATGTTATTTTTCTAATGGTGCATAATTTAGAAGTTTTTCAATTAAATCTACATGTCCAAGGAGCATTCTGCGGCAACAGTATCGTTTTAATCCCAATGCATCAAGAGCATCTCTGTAACATACACATGTACCACACAGTGTATTAATATCTGCTGTTTAGACTTGATGAAACATGTAGAATTTTTATTGGAAGAGCAATTAATCAATTGTATGTTACTGATTTTTATTGACTTCAGTACAGTGTAATATGCTCGAAATTAAGGTTAAGTTTCTTATGAATGTGAATTACAAAATACATACAAATTATTGGATTCTATGTCATTTTTTTTAAAATTATTTTTTTTGTTTTTAGATATTTATATACTCACCCTTCAGTGTATTCTGCTTGCAATAAACCAAGATAAGCTTCCCACTTGTTACCGATCACTTTTCCACAAGTAAAACAACGTACAGGTATAATCATTGTTATAAGTCTTACTGAACAATTAGATCCTTTCAATATACGTCAATATGTGTACTGTTACTCGCTTTAACTTTTACAATAACGAATAAGCAAAAAACGTTAGTTTACTTATTCTCGAAAGCTCGATTTCCGACTTGTTGTATACACAAACTAACATATCTGCAATCGTGCAGTACCTTGAAGTATTTCGATCTTGCTCATTGTTGCCAACAAAATCGTGAAAATAAAATATTAGAGTGCATCAGCCGAGAAGATTACAGTACCGAGAAAGAAGCCTCGTAAATTTATTGTAAATATTTGAATTATCATAGTATATAAAAAATACGAGCGTCTTAAAATAACTGAGAAACGTTAAACGAAAATATATATATATATTATATATAAGTAAAGCGAATCGTACGCTGTGACTCAAATTATTAAAATCATCGTCCTAAATTAACCTTTAACAAAGAAATAAACATTAATTTAAACATTATTATCGTATCATTTTTCGATAAGAATATTTATCGTTGCGAACGTTTAATCTAATATTGAATATAACAAATCGGGTGGCAAGATAAATATTCTAAACGCGACGCAATAACGGTGACCATACGTTTCCCATGAAATTATACCAACTAAAAAATCGTGGACGTATTTTTGTTCTTCGATCGATTGTTATTAATAATGTACCGTTAAAATGTTAGATCACCTTGAATATTATTTACGGATAATTATTGGCAATGAGCAACAGTTAGATAAAGTCTAAGAAGTGCGGTGACAATTCAAAACGCGGTCGTTTACAAGCGCGTTCGAAAGGTAAATATACAGCTTCGCGTTTAGCGCGCCCGGAGACAAGCCGTGGCAGAAAGACAGCTGCTCCGATCGAAGGACATGAATAGGGGGGGCGGAAGGGAGAGAGGGAGAAAGAGAAAAATACGAGGCCGAAGCAAAGGGAGAACACCATAAACATACAAGATCGCATTGGTTCTGCTTTCTCCTTTGTCTGCTGGATGGAAACATGTTATAACACGGTTAGAGTGCTATCAAATCGTCTTTCTAATTATTGCTTTTTTTTTACCGCGCTCGTTTACCGTTGCTGTAACAGAAACCGGAAAGATCGGAATTTTGGCGCCGTACACCGACGCGACATCAATGACAGTGTAAATGGTTATGTTAGCACAGCGTACTTTTTACGTACATTTTATCGAATACGTTCCCATACTTAATTGTTTTCGGTTCCTCTTATTGCCCAATCGTTCGATCGTTTTATCAAACTCGTGGTCGCGATAAATACTTCGTATCGCTAATAACATTAAGTCAAGGTTATATTCTGTGCGTCTTTTTCGCTGTATTGTCAAAATCAGCTGCCATTGCTATAGCGTACAATTCTACTTGCTCTTTTTTGGTTTTCTTTTATTTTTTTTTTTTATATTTCTTGAGCTACATCCATTCCCGAAATTTCATTCAAGATCAACGACTTGTGGTGTGTTCAGTTTTTTTTTAAATCGTACACGGCAAGTTATCTCGTCGTTTAGAAGAAGCGATATACTTTACTAAATTTATACACCACTACTTGTATGAATACAAGTGGACGTGGATTAGAACTATAAATATACTTAAATACTTCAAAAATGTTTTATAAACAAACTACATATATTATTTTTATATATTATCTATCTATCTATCTATATAAGATATTGATATATTGTTCGTTGTTCTGTAAATTAATTTTTGTACATGCGTTTATGATTTTTGAGACAATTATGTTATCTCAATAAATATGTATTTATCTATCGTTAATTTTATATATTGCAATAACTATTGATAATGTAGAATAATTTGTTATAAGTTTATTTTTCATTTATACTTATGTATTTGTAAGGTATGTTGCAGGGTCAGAGAATTGATATCGCATCGTACATCTATATAATAGGAGGAGCAGACAACTGTGGTAAAGCACATTTGTTAATTTCAATTGAGACAAATAGGTGCAAAGAGATTTTCAGCAGGGAGGAAAATAGGAAGAGTAGAAGTGAGGGTTAAGCGTGACAGCGGTAAATGCAGTGGCTGAAGGAGAGATGGACCCATCAATGTTTGTTGCGTACACCCCTCAAACAAACGGCGTTCCACTGGAGTCCAAGCTTGCTACCTACATGGTAGTATACTACTCATCTTCAATTTATTTGAGGAGAGTCAAGCTTTAGTAAAACTTTCCATTTTATATATTATTCAATTAGATACATTAGTAAATTGGAATACATTAATGAATTGGTAATATACATATATGATTTATTTATTATATATTTTTTGGATAGAATCGTCAAAGTCCAGGGATAACGTTAAGTACCTCAGCTGTTACGAAACATTTGTCAAACCTTTCTCTGGATTCACAGAAAAAGGTAACTGCCAGTCCAGAATTTGTACCTGGACGGGGTCTTACTAGTAGTAACAGCAGCTCTCCAAATCTTTTCAATAACTCTTATCATTCGCAAGAGAATGTGGGCGGTACTACTTATTTTTATCTTGGAAATACTTCAGCTGAAAGTGTTGGGGCTGAAGAAGGAACCGAGACTGTGAGTAAATATCAAAGTTAACAAAAACATTGTATCATTTTTGCTTAATTAACGAGTAAAAATTTCATTGATAGATCGGAACTGTCGGAGCAGGTCAGGTAGGCTATGTCTATCCAGGTACACCTGCCCATCTTCAGCCAGTGAAACCTACAAAGCCCCCCTCGTCTAATAACTCTTCTGCTCCTTCAACTCCACCTCCCCAAGCAACACCCAGCTTCTTTGTCAGTGAGAATCTACGAATGGACATTCTACAGAAAAATGCTTTAACATTAGCGCAACCTGATGTAGTACGATTTCCCGATTTACCAAATGAGGTAGATAATTATCACGAGCTGTGCCCATTGGAACCAATCCATAAACCTGCTTCAACGATACTTGGCTATCAAACATCAACGTACAAAGCTACCAGCATTAAAAGTGGTACTCGTTATTGTTTACGTCGCATACATGGTAAGTATTTATAAACTGTGTGGTAATATTTAAAAAGTTCAATAAAAATGATACTGAGAGAAGCATTTCATATCCTTTTAGATTTCAGACTTGCTAATACGAAGTGTATGGTGCTGGTAGATATGTGGAAACGATTATCTCATACAAATTTGGTGCAGTTAAGAGAAGTTTTTACAACCAAGGCCTTTGGTGACCATTGTTCGTATTAATGTACATAGTAAGAAAAATTCTAAATATACCTTTATGAAGCAACTTTATCGTTTCAGCCATGGTATTTGTTTACGATTATCATCCTGGCTCGGAGACATTACTGAATAAGCATTTCTCAGCAACCGAATTAAATGGTTATACGGATCCATTTTCTTCGGATCCTAACGCTCCGCGACCTTACAGCCATACCAAGAATACTATTTTGAGGCAACAGCATAGCAGTATGTTACCGGAAAGCGTCATATGGAGTTATATCATTCAACTCACTGCCGCGCTTCGTGTTATACATGCTGCTGGTTTGTATATTTGAATAATATTTTTACGTATTTTGTTTGATTTATTAGCCAACCCGTGTCTAAGATTGAAAATCTTGAGAAGGGAGCTAAAGCATTTAGACTTTCTGTCACTTTTGTACAGGCCAAACGGCAAGAGTTATCAAAAAAATTCTTGCGCCATTGTATTTAGTGGGTCAAAATCTCAACGAATGGCCGACAAATTTTTTTTTTTTTCGCCACTACCGCTTTGACCGGAAATGACCGAAAAAGGGTTGACTTTAGAGCGAATCTCGCGCTAGTTCACTTTAGCTTATTCCTTTTTTTCTTTTTTTGATAGGTTTGGCATACAGATGTTTGGATCCGACGAAAGTGCTACTCACGTCCCGAACGAGATTACGTTTAAGTTGTGTCGCTATACCGGATGTCGTTACTTTTGACGGAAGCGCAGCAAATCCACTCTCTCTTATACCGCATTATCAACAGGAAGATTTAATCGCCCTTGGAAAGTTGGTGTTGGCTTTAGCATGCCGTAGTTTACTTGCCGTCCATCGCGACAATATGCAAGCGTCCCTCGAGCTCGTCGCACGTTCCTACTCCACGGATCTTCGAAATCTGATTCTGTTTGTATACGTTTTATATCCTTCTAAGACATTTTTCGTTGTAAAATTAACATTTCCGATTGAAGGAGACAGAGTAATTTACGTTACTCTGTGCTTATGTTCATAACGGAATTATAATTTTATAGGTATTTACTTTCAAACCAAGCACGAAGAAGTGTGACAGATCTCATGCCAATGATTGGAGCACGATTTTATACGCAACTAGACGCAGCTCAACTTCGATCCGATGTACTGGAAAACGAACTTGCCAAGGAGTTGGAAAATGGAAGATTATTTAAGTTACTCGTCAAATTGGCCACTATTAACGAAAGACCTGAGCTTAACATGGAACCCACATGGGCAGAAACGGGTGACCGGTATATGCTCAAATTGTTTAGGGATTATGTTTTCCACCAGGTAGCAGCCGATGGGAGACCGTGGTTGGATATGGCTCATGTTGTATCTTGCTTAAATAAGTTGGATTCAGGTTCTCAGGATAAGGTATATTTTTTATTTTTCAGAATACATCCATTAACACTAGATTGCCGGACAAATAGGCCGGGAAGGAATTAGTATTTGTATACATTTCATAATTCTATTAAAAATCTATATATATTCAAAAAAAAATAGCAATAAAATCGGCAATCTAGTGTTGAGCATACAAATGATATTAATATATATTTTTGAATCTCTTCTTTATAATTTATATAGATATGTTTGATGTCACGAGACGAACAAAGTGTATTAGTAGTAAGTTACGCAGAATTGCGACAATGTTTGGAAACCTCATTTGGAGAATTGGTACAATCTGCTAAAGATGCTGTCTAGGTCTAACCCTTTTTCTCAACTGACCAGACGGTACATACTCCGAACCATAAATGTGATATCACCACTTAGCGGTACTATCATTTTAATCTTTATCAAGACATAGGAGAGTGAGATTCGATCCGAGAGTTAAGTTTGGTGATAAGAAAAAAATAGTATGTGAACCAGTTTGTAAGCATGATTACAATGTCGAATCATTAGATAAGTGCGAAATACATTCTGGTACTGCCATTTGAATGTAACATATGTGTGCAAGGAGATCATGTGATGATGTAAATCAGAAAATGTTTGAATTTGCTGTGGAAGCTATTACGGTACTATACAAAAGAAAATGAATTGTACACAACTTAATAATGCAATGAAGTCTTAAAAAAAAAAAAAAAAAAAATAAGAAATACCTAAACACAGTCGGTGTATAGGATAGATCTTAGTTTTTAGGATACAGCTGGTAAGCATTAATTTTGAAATAAATGTTTATTTTTGAAAGCAATCTTAATTAATGGTGTGCGATTATTTCAAATAATTATATCACCATACAAAATTTACTTGTATTTTTATCCATTATTATGTGATTTTATATTCGAATATTTGATACTCGTAGAAATCTGGGTACTTCGTTTGTTCCAGTTTATCCAGTTGGCAATCTGTAGATTCGGTTCTTGAACTGCCCTATCTACATTCCCTACCGCTCTCCTCCGCTCTTCGGCTGCTGTCCGCAATCACTCAAACTTGATCTCATTTCCTTCGCGCAATTGCACGACCAGAGTATGGACAGACTTTTGCGCACACATTCTCCGGATCGTATCATACACATGGTCGTCGCTAGTATTTTATTCACAAAATACAATCTTACATATATATAACATACATTTACACTATATACCTCATTTAAATATCTACATTTTAAATAACAATTTTTTACAGAGGATATCTTTGATTGGAGAAAAATTAATTTCATTGTGGGATTATAATATTCATCCAATTTCTTCTCATCTCTAATACCCTGTATCGACGCCCATGCATTTATCCTACGTACGTCCTGTGGTTCGAATAAGTGTTTAACTTATACGTAAGCTGACCGTGGAGTCGAAATAAAAGGCATATCAAACATCTGTTTCTGTCCAAGACAGATTAACCGATTCGACTGGGCCCATCGTTCTCCACCTAATTGTCTTAATGTCGACGTGATTTACTCCCCCGTACCGTGTCATTTCTGACAATCACTCTTCTCGTACACGTATTAACCATATATACGTGGTACGACCGAGTGTAAGTCTTCATTTTATTCGACATCAACCCGCTAACCCAGAGACGTCACACGAATACTGCTATGACATTATATTTTTAAACGTAAAATGATTAATCCATAGTCGATTAACTTTTTACTAATTAACTCTGATACTCATTGACGCGGATCCGCGTCGGCTGTGAGGAGGTATCAATATTGTAAATATATTTGTATCATTATTTACCCTTGAACGACGGACCAGCGATTATTTCATTTTTACAGATCCGGCTCCGCCGTTGATGATTTATAAATTTTATGATGACGAAATCCGATGTCTTAAGGTACGTTTATAACAGGATCGTGAAAGCGCTGTTGGCTTTAAATCCAGACTTACTGGTTGTTAAGAAACTCTAAACACAACCACGGGAGCAGCGAACCCTTGCGCAAGTGACTTTTCTTACGATCGTCCCACGATCATGAAACTGGATTGCGCGGAAGGTCGCACGAAACCGTTTGAAAAAAAAAAGACCAGTCGGTATGCTCCTCCGTGCAAGCGAATGTATATGACCAGAGCTCGGTGAGAAAGAACGTGTAACTTCTTCTATGTGTTCCAAGAAAAGCAAGGTACCAGCGAAACATGCTCGGGCAATATATGGTGCACGAGCGTCTCGTTCGTCTGGTTATTCTCCTTCTGCCTGTTTCGGGAAGACGAGGTATTCGCGGGGGAAAAAAATGTTACCAGAATTTACTTATCGAGCGTGTGGCTCAAATAAGAACTCGACTCGACTATTGGTCAACGTTGAAGTTCGTTAGCGCGCTTCTTTTTTTACCCTATAACGGTTAAGACACATTGTACATCCGCACGCACACGGTTCAACGTCACACACCATGTTTTGCATCCGATTCGTTTGAATCGATATTCTTGCCTACTCACCAGTCGTAGTTTAATCACCGCGTTACAGAGATTAATCGTTCACCAGATACGAGGGACAAGTTATCGGATAACGTATGTATGTCGTGGCAGATTTTCGTGGGAATGGTAGTACACATGGTTTATATAGAAAATGCAAAGGGTTTATTAAAAAACGTGTTTTCCAAGTCGCGATAGTATACCTTGAAACAATTTCCTTCCTTTCTCATTTACAAACGCAAACTCTAATAAAAAAAGAAAATTGTAAACTTTGCTCATGATGTACGTAATACCTAGGAAGCACAGTTGCCCCTAATCCTCTTAGATGGAGCGGTAAAAAAGGAAATGTAAGGTCGGTAAAAAGAAACACGTGAAACGTAGTCATACGAATTTATTACGTACATAATTTATTTACAATATAACATTTTCTTTCTAAGGATCGAGGAGTAGTAAACGCCTCTAATAATTTCCTACATCCATCTCGAGGACATTGATCCATATTTACTCTCTGTTTAATCCTTTCCGGCTTCGTCTGTTTCCGTTTAATCCCAGTCGTGTTAGAAACGATTAGCGATATTATCCCGGGGACAGGATAAATATTTATTGGCTAGACTATTGGAAAACATAAGAAATAGAAGACAGGTAGTAAAGGTTTGAAAATATCCTTTCAGTGCAGCGGAACGATGGGGCGACGCTGGAAGCGGCAACCCCGCGTGCTGCTCGCGCGAAGGTTGCTGCTGCGTAGGGATGGTGTAGACACACACAGAGGAGAAGAGGTCGCGGAGCGGGTAGAGCGGTAGCGGCTGTGGAAGCAGCAACACGTAGTACACGGTAGCACCTCGACGAGGACGCACACGCTTGTATACGTCGCTTTGGTAGTCGGTAGACTCGCTTCGAGCCAGTCTCATTCGGTCCAGTGGCGCAGTCGCGTTACGGGGATACATTTTTCCGTATCTCTCCAACCACTACCAGCATCCGCCACCACCACCATCACTACTACCAACGACACTGTTACCACCGCTACCACCACCTGCACCGTCAAGCGTGTCAACATACACGGAACGTCAGCAGGACCACCGGATCAGCATCGGGTTGTTCCTGGACGATAATCGTACAAAAGTGAGGGCTCGCATCCTCGAGACAACGTGAGGTGAGTAACCGCTATATTTTTTTCTGCATCTTTTTACCCGATCAGCGTCCGTCGATCGTTGAGCTTGAAAATGGTGGCTCGTTTACGTACGCGGTTTTTCGTCCACCGAAACGACCGCGACGCGACCCTTCTTGGAACACCATAGCGTTTCGTTCCACGCGCTCTCTCTGTGAATTCCCATCGATTTTCCACAGCAAGACCCGCCCTGTAATTTAACGTTCTCTCCCTCTCTCTTTGTCAGTTTGTACTTGATCATTTTTTTTTTTATTTTCACCCATACCCGTCTGACGTTGAAGTTCATAAAGACTTTAAGGGACATACGGTCGTATAATTCCCTTGGTTATCGAGACGAGTCTGCGGATCCTTTTTTGGGCAAACGCCGCGAGTGTTTGCCGTCGACGATCGATGGACTCTATCGGCTTCTCTCTTTTACCCTGTATCTTCGAATCCATGGATGGTCGTTTCTTTCTGACGCGATACCGTTCGCTAGACGCTCTGCTCTCGATGGACCACGCGTCTGTATCGATTCTCGATAGAAGAAGACGATCGAAGTTCGATCGCGGTCGAGCGTGATTCGTGAAACTTTTTAAAACTTTTTTATGAAGAGAAATCATCAGTTTTTTATTTAAACAATTAATGATACATAATAATTTTTGTAGAGTATAGTTATCATAGATTCTGTACATGTTTGTTGTTTACGTTCAATCTTCGTGCGCGTTGTTTTTCTCGCGTAGACGCGAGAGGACATCGGCCTGAATCTCGAATTACCGCGACAAGCGAACCCGGTATAACAGAAAGAATTCATTGAAAGAAACTTTGCCACCGTAAACACGCACTTTGACTAGCGGTATAAAAGTAGTTCGAACTTTTACGAGATTGAAAATGTCCGAATTGAAAGGAGCCGTCGAGGTAAACAGAAAACAACAGCGTAGCGTATGAATTTTTATTTTACCGCGACTTCGTGTTCAGTATTTTTCGGGGAACACTGTGAACTTTAGCTTTTAGGTTAACAAAAAAATCTAAGCCCATTTGGCTTTGAGGTTAGTCTTTATACCTTTAAAGGACGATTGGGCACGAATGAAGCATACCTTTACTCTTATCTCGGGTTATTCTATAAACTCATCAAGTTTCATCCAAATCAGTGAATAAGGGTTGGTGATGTCTTTTTTGTTGGGCATTGGATACATGAAAAGACCAAATTTCTTTCTTTTTGCGGGAAATGTTGGGAATGAAAGTAATATAAAAACTAGTGACCGATATGATATTTTTAATGGACACGGTGCTTTAAAACCACGGTATTCCATAAAAAGGTACAGCACACAAGGTAACGCGCATTGACTTGTACCTACACATACGCGTCTCGCCTTTTCATGCAACAAGCTTCTCAATATGAAAAGTGTAATACACGTTTATCTCGAACAACATGATGGAAGCCGATGTTTAACGATTTTTTCGAGCTGCATCACCCTAGTGGTGCAAGTTCTTGTTAATTCATTAAAGGATATCGAGTGAATGGTGTGATGTTGCAACAACCCTTTGAAAAAATATGTCGATTATTTTTGTTTGCTCCATGCTTTGTAAATTCAGTTGTTTTGCTCAGAGTGAATCAGAAACACTGGTACTGTGTAGCTACAAAATACGAACCATACAATTTATATCTACTACAATCTTAGGAACTTTTTTTGAGTTTGCAATTATGTTGCGTGCGGTAAATGTTTTTACTTTTGTTCAGCAGATGGCACTCACAATAGACGCGCATACACTTGAATTGACATTCGGGGGGTTGATTTAACGGAGTCAGTAAACTGTAGCATTAAGTGATACTTGTTCGATGTTAGTAGCGTGAGAAACGCGAGACTTTTTGTTCAGGGTTTAATAGTTTATTGCATAGTCTGTTTAAGCGAAAACCAAAGAGAGGTTAGGTATTGCTTTTTTTACATATAAAATAATTTCATGGCTATCTTATTTATAATTATAACGGTGTGAAAAATGGTCAAGCAATTTGGGAGGGACGCATAGGTGACAAAAAAAGGCGTGCCTGTGTGACCGATACCGCGAGAGAAATTATGGTCGATGAAAAAAGAGGAGAAAAAGGGTCGACGTGCTTCACCATCGCCAGCGAATTAAGTTACACGGGAGCAATTTGAGGGGAAATTGCGTGCAATATTTGCCATTGCCGTGGTAGAATCATATTACCCGCGCACGCGCACGCGCGAGACGGTTGAGGAGAAAAAAAGAACTAGGGAATAGAGTTCTCGGCACCATGTGACCGATTCACGATGTCGTGTTCCATCGCGTTGAAAAAAAGAATTTCACCGTGACACTTGCACGCATATTATTTTTTCTACAAAATCTCGCGAGAATCCGGATTTTCGCCTACGGAAACTATCTCGATTTTCTCTCGTAGCCCGTACGAATATAACCGGATAACTTGTGATGTATGAGCCTTGAAGCTCGAGTGACACTCATTTTGTGATTTCCTGCTTATCGTGGCGTCTACGTTTATTCTTAGCACCGCTGACATTTGTTCCTCCACAGTCGAGATTAGAATTGTAAGGCGGCGCGAATTAAATTACCATTGAATTTCTGATCGTTCGAAATTCAAATTAATTTAATCGTCTGTTTCTTTTGCGCATAACAGTGGGGGAGGGTTCTAAAGAAGAAGAATTCAAAATTTTATTCTCGTTTCCATGAAACCACCATCAATTTTTTATACGTCTTATACTTATTAGAGTATGACGGTTTAATTCTGGGACACTCTGTTCATATTTAATCGTGTCAAATTGCGTACGAGGGTTCATACGTTTCTTTAATGTCTATTAAGAATGTGGATGCATTTAAACATATCATGGCCCTATTACCACGCCATATCTCCCTCTTTAATTAACCTCAATTTGCGGTACATCTGGTGACATAGTTGCCGCCAATTTACTGACGTTTCGCCTTCTCCAAGCAGTTTGTCGTATCGATAATATCGCTCCATATCGCTGGTATCGCGTTGCTAAATTGTCAGCGAGATATATCGATCAAGGGGGTCGACAATCGAGTCCATTGTCAATACCTATCTATCCGTACCATCCCACGCGTATAACTATGAAACCTGTTTGACCGGATAGTTTTCTATTGAACAGAAAAAAAAATTCATCTATGATAGCTTGGTGATACATGCCAGCTTTTCTTTTTATAGGTAAAGAAAGGAAAAGAAGGGAAGCCTAATAAATGGGAGTGCACATGTTGATACAACAGTCAGGTCAAATAGAAATATTTGAAATTCAAATATTGATTGATAAAAAAAAAAAAGGAAACTACGCGCGAGGATGAATTTATACACAAAACATGGTTCCCTGAATTCTATATAGATTCGTGAACGAGCGATTTACATGTCGTAGCTGTACAATTATTCCAAAAACGCGTAACATTCTATGTAATCAATTCTGGTAATCTATCCAACAACATAGACTTATGTAAATGAATTAACCTTTCGTCCCTTCTTTTTTTTGTACATTATGTATTAGCCTTTTCTTGTTTGTCAGGAAGTTTCGTTTGAGTCTTCCGTCAAGAGATTCTAACCTCTTTGAATTTCAATGCACGAACTGTAGGCTAGATATTCATGATATTCCTTTCCGCTTTTCATCGATGATTTTTATCCGTTCAGAATGTATAAAGTGATTTTAAACAAAAATATCGAGCCTTCGGTTTATCGTGTACGGTTCGAAAATATTAAGTATGGTAACCTAGGGTTCCCTATGTTAGCTGTCCCTAGGGCTTAGGGAAAAAAGCGATTACTGGTGGGGTGGCTCTTCACTGGTGGGATCTCTTCCTATATTTCTTCTTTTTCTCTTGGGAAAACGTAGAAAAAGTGTCTCGCCACCCATCTCGTTAGTCTCTCCTTAGGATCTCCCTAGGATCTCCCTAGATTCCCCGAAGACCAAAGGCAAGTGGTGGAAGGTTTCTCCCCTTATCACAATTTTCGCTCGGTGTTATACGAATCCACGTTATCCTCTGCTGCAACCCCTGCTTCTAACAAGCATCGATTTCGCGGTTAAGTTGCTCGATAATTTATCGACCAGGCGTGCTAATGAATTCGATCCGTGAAACGTGCTTTCGTCGGTGCTCGTTGTTTAAACGTTTGCACACGGACGTACCGGTTAGCATGCCTGCGATCGTTAGTACATTTCTTCGCTCCAGGTAGTCTTGTTTTTCCAGCGAGTAAAGCATTTCTTGCCGTTCGACGATGAATTTATTTGCTTAGCCGGAAACACGTTCGAGAGCCGAGTGTGTTTGCCAGAGGTAAATCATTGAACGCACGACGGAACAACGTTCGCCTTAGAGCGTCACACAGGACGTAGATGTCACATAAAGCAGAAAATGCGGCTTCACTCGCGGATATATTGTATGTAAATGGCGCATAGTTTACGCCATTCCTCTACCCTTCTCTTACTTTCATAATGGACGTCTTAGCTTCCTCTTCCTCTCCCTCGACAAGAGAGAATCTATTCGCTGTCTACAAGCTTTTAACCCTTTCAACGAACATATCATCGTTCTGTATACAATATGTAACAAGATAATAGGTACAAGTGTACGCTTCTTGCTCTAATGGCTGAACCTCTTATTTTATCCGTAAATGAATAACATTGTTAAGGACGTTGCTCCTGAAATCTTATACTTCCCCTTATGATCTATCGAGCCGATAAAAAGAGGGAATCAGTGAATAAAATTCAAACCGGAAACTCTCGTTATATTACGTCGACGTAGCTTTAACGAGCATTCCGTGTCGCGGCATGGTAAAACGACGCCGCGCCGGACGGTGGTTGGAAAGAAAAGCCGGCTCCATCGGTTTTCTCGAATCGCCGGAAGACACGGGTACCGGAAATACCGCGGGTATGTAAACGGGGATCGGTCCTCTTCTTCCTCGTTTCGCGATGTTCCTCGAGCCGCTAGCAGGGAAAATGGATCGTCCCGTAACGATCTCACGGTAAGGCGGTTCTTATCGCGGCTTA